TTTTTGTTTCATGACGTTTTTCGTGTTGTATTCGTGTTCTATGTGTATTTTGGATGCTGTTAGTTGTACGCGGTTGCGAGCCACTTCAATCTCGTCCCGCACTCCGCACAAACACATTATGCTTCTTATATGGTATCTCGGAGGGTACAAAATTGCAGAACTGGGCAGGGTCCAGCTTTTCGGTCTGAGCAATCCATCCGTAAGTGAAGTCTAGAGTGATTGCATCTGTCCGCACTCTCCATGCGAAATTTCCTGGTTAAGCAAGGCACTTATTACACTGTATAAGTAGGGACTGGTCCTCCACTATTGTTTTTGCATTTCTACATATAGGTATCTACTACTTGATGTTACTTGATGTTATTTCTCTGTAATGCCTTTGGTCTCACCTGGAGCACTGCATGGCATCTTTCCAGATTTTCATTCGTCATCTTCCTTTAGGTCTTTGAATACCTGGGGGTTTTGTTCTATTACTGCTTCCAGAATTTTCTCCTCGGTCAAGACGTACGGTATGTCCTTTATAATCACCAGCGGGTCCTTGTTGTCTATGGCATACTGTTAAATCTATCATTCGATATATCACGAACTGTTGTTCTACGTAACACCATCAAAACTTTTTAAAGTAGGATGAACATGGTAACAGTTCAATATACTTATATGTCGATTTTAGCAGTACTGAATCTGTAAGGTTATATTAATTTTGCAATAAACGTAACTTTTACAGTCTAAAATAAAGTATACCCTTTTCGTTACATTTATTTCGACGAAACAAAGATTTCTCTCCGAACGAAATTCCCTAAAGGCGGCAACGGAGCTTCCGTTTATCCATTACCTTTATCTGAACACCGGAAAGTCTTAAGACATTTCCCCCGGTTATATCGAACTACCGTAGAGGCTTTGGAATAAACGTTCGTTAAATATGCAAAAGACGTCTACTCGGCCCACAAATGTTCTTCCATAGAGCAAGTTTTATCGGATATCGAACTTACAGAACAATCAACGAGTGGTTAGTAAAAGTATGATTGTAAAAAGTTACAGCGTGTGTCATTTCCGTATTAATTAAACCTATCAATCGTATTCGATTGTTTCTTTCTCTCTAGATTGTTATGTTAACTTTTGTCTGACGCACATGAACGAGATAAAAAGTTTGACGACCTCCTTGCCCGAGTGGCGCATACGGGGATTTGAAAGTGACGCTATCTTTCAGATCCAATGTTTGATTCCTGTTCGGGTTGGTAAATTATTTTTCTATATTGTCTCGGGTATGGGGGTTATGATATCTTCATTACATCAGATTGCTATGTTACAAGTGACTCAGCTACTTAATTTGAAGTCTAAGCAATATTTATTTAGTTTTCAACGCAACTAAATCAGACGTCACGTGATACCTGTGCGTGTCCCACAACTGTACCATGAATATTAAGATTATCTTCCTTTAGATCAAAAACAATAATTTTCAGTAACCAAATAATCTATATATTAACCCTTTGTGGTGTAAGCTAAGAGACCAGAGTACCACAAGGTATAATTTCTATAATTTCTAAAAACGCTTAACGTTTTCTTGATATCCATAACTTTTTACATATCCTCGCCGATTTTTATGGTTTCTGACTTCGGCAATGTGTTTAATATTTAAAATATTCCAACGCTGATTTCGAAACAACACAAACAAATAACAAGAAATTCAAACAATCTAATTATAGCTTTCGACTTACAAAGTTATTCATAAATTATAAAAAGTTAGTCTTATTGTAGTCTGTGTAGGTTTTTCATGAAAGATTCTCGATAATAATAAAACGGAAGTCACATCGTTATCGAGAGACAAAACAAAGAGTCGTAATTTTGCCGAGTATGCGACGGGCGCACTGCGCGTGCGATCGACTAGTAAGAACATCACATCATAGATATAATTGGCGTGCAGAAGTGAAATTTGATTCTGATGTCAAGAAGAAATTAAAAACAAATTGAAAAATTTTATTCATTAATCCCTTAAAAATATTACCATTACATCACCGTAGTACTAGACTCCAACACATTACCTGGTCAATTTCCTAATATGTAGAACCTGAACCTCTGGCAAGCTAAAGTAAATAGGTACTTCCTGGGTTTGCCATATTAGGTCATGTAGTCCTTACTTACAATCAGGTAGGGCTTCCAATCTTAGAATACCGAGATCTCAGTACTGGGGGACCCCCATCTTTTTCCAATCCTGTGTTGATTCGTATCAAACGTTACATCAGTACAATGAGTCGCAAAGACAAGTCATAACTGCCTGTAAATTTCTTTGTTTACTGCCAACTGATGCAGAGTTTTTAAAGTTTGTCATTAATAAATATTTAACAATTGCCCGTTTAAGGCTTCGTGGTGTTTGTACATCTATTTTAGACATTATCGCAGTGTTGCTTCTCTGTGACAACATAAACTGTACATGTTTATCGCTAACTTATGCTTACGGCCAAAGTGGTTTTACGGAAGAAAGTTTGCCAATACCAATCATGACTTGTTGAAGTTATTACATTTTAGTTTTCAATATAAATTTATTTTATGAAACGAGTACCAATTTTTCGAGGGGCTATTTTGCAAAAATATTTTGTTCGCTCAATTTTTATGAATTGTAGATGAGGTTCATGAGAGTCTATAAATTTATTAAGAGTAAATCAAAAAGTATAAGCAGAATAATAGGCATTACGTATACATTGTATTTGTTGTCGGATGTCAACTGTCGGGCGCATACACGATGCGATATTAAAGCTGTCTTGGATATAAAACACATTTGTGAAACGATACATTCGATACGTTATGTAAAATGTAGTAAATTGAGAAAGATAAAGAAATAAGTTATTGATTTATATACAAAAAAGTTAAACAATTTTATTGATCTAACAAAATGCAATCTTTTATTTAATTAAACATCTTAAAATTGAATTAGAAAACAAACATCGATTGGTTGAACTGAAATTTAGCCTAGCGCCTGTTTTCCGAATTGAAAAACAAAAGTAAACATATCAGCTTATCTTATTACGTCAAATTTCACCAATTGATATTAGACCTCAACTTAAGTTAGTTAAGTTGAATATGTCTATGTTGTACTACAGATATTACGTTGACATAGAAAGCGTTTTCGCTTTTTTTAGGAAGCCCAAGTCACGAGTAATTTCTTTTTTTAATCATCAAAAAAAAACAAGGACACAATTAATAACAGTCCTCAATAATACTTCAAACATTTTATTTCATAAGACCATTTGGAACTCATCAGTTCAACCATTTGGAACAGGCTTACTTTCAATTATTTCGTCCGGAATATATATAGGAACTAATTAAAAACACAAAGGTCTTCTCAAGTCAGCATCCGCCCTTGTTCTCCTAAAAGGCATCGTAATACTACTATACCTACCTGGTTCGCTGACGCTGGATTGTGTACTCGACTCATTCAGCTAATGATGGGCTGGAGTTAAACAAATTTCGTTGAATTTACAGTTAATTCAGCTACGGAAGCCGTAGCGGAATCAACTGTAAATTCAATGTTTGATTGTGTTTGATTAAGTGTTACAATGATTTAGCGGTTTGTTCATCTAATTAGCTTCCTTTATTTGTGCTAATGTCGTTAACGATGAATCACTCTGCAGCTTTTTGCCTCGTGCACTCTTTATCTTAAGGATTAAGTGCTATGAAAGCAATAAGAGCTACCGTGTTACAAACTGTATGTATATCAAATGATTTACTTAGTGGGAGATTAAAGTCTTATGTGGGATTATGTCGTGGCATAAATTCTATAGATGTTCATCAGTCACATCTGTTTCTCCACATGAAGACATTATGCGATTGTAAACATTATTTTTTTTATAAATTTAACTTCTCCTTTTTCGTTTTGAATCTTTTAATGATTGTGTTTTGTTTACAAACCATTATAGAAGTCTTTCGCTATTGATTATGCATATATAAGGGCACGTATGCTTCGGTTCAAACAGATGCATCATTTTGTAAATGTTTTGTCATTGCAAACGAGAGGCAAAAAAATATCTAGTACCTATACAACTTCTTTGCTATAAAATGTTGTTATAATTTGACTTATTTTGTAATAAATGTATCATCATTAAAAAGCTTTACTTATTAGTGGAATGGATATAGTATAACCTGCTCAATTTGCCGTTGTACAATATGATCTTTGTGATAATAATATCGACATTAGTATAATAATTATTTTACTTTATCATGAGGTAATTGTTAATACTAAAAAATTATGTGGATATCTATTTCCGTTTAAGTTTGGTTACATCTGACTACAGGTTCGTTACCATCCATGATGTTCTTGCAACCGGTCGGCTACACATCTGTTTTAAATCAAATTCGTTACAGATATAATTTCATATTTCTGTCGTCTTCGGGTGCAGCTATACACAAATCTGTATTTAACCACGCCCTATAATATGACCATTCATTTTTTCCCCAAAACGGTTTTAAAGGGCCTATTAGTTACGGTGCGGTGCCATACAAGAATGCTCTGTTCCACCGGCATTGACTAATAGTGGTGGGTTTCAACTTAACAAATCATAGTTAAATTGACGAGTAAAAGTTTTAGGCATGATATTTTGTAATTTTTATTACATCATTTATATTGTATTTTATTATGAAATTAAGAGTAATAACTTCTTTGCAACTATCATTTTAAGCTTATTGAAGACATTAGATCATTTTTATTTATTTTCTTTTTGATAAATTTAATTATTTTGGTGTTTTAAGTAATTTAATTGATAAATTACACACCGCAGTATTCTTCCATCTCTTCAGTTCTAATGTCAACAAAACATGACTATAAATTTTCTGGTTGTTCTCGGGAGAACGAGATATATAGATATAACTCTATTTAATTTTTATAGTCGACAAAATTGTAAAATATGGCATAGGTTTTATAGATTCTCATACTGGATTCCTACTATTTCAACTATGGCCTCGAAACTGTACAAACATTAGCTTTCACGTACTCAAACAGGGTATTGTTTTAGGTGATGCGCGCACGCATGTGAAGTATGGCGCGAGGGGGGACCATGCTCCTCGTGCTATGGGTGGTCGCAGTCGCCGCTGACAGCAAACACGGTAAGTATTCTTTGAAGAAAATTAAGTAAAGTAGTTTCTAGTCAGTTTACAATATAAGATAATCATAATACAATATTAGATAACATCACTTACATTGCTCACATTCTTAAAGCTACTTAATTTTAGCGCTTTTAAAAGTAAAAAACAACGGAGGTACCACAACACCCAGATCCGAGACAATATAGGAAATTTCACGTTCTAGATTACCACGACAAAAAATCGACACCTTGAAGCCGATTAAAAAAAATATATATTATGATGAAAGTCTGTTTAGGAAAATAAATAATATAAATAAAGTCAATCAATGGAATTTAAACCACAAAACATTATCAGAGACAAATTACAAAATCAGTATTCACGGTACGAGTTCTACCTAAATCAACAAACAAAAGAGAATAGAAGAACAAAAATAAACAAACCCGTATTTTGTTAGAGTTTTAGCACTGACCCTTTCCCAAAATAAATTCAGCCCTAAACCAACAGCTTTTTAGGTGAATATAATTACTAACGCTCTAATGTAAAAAGCGAAATTGAAAAATTTCATCAGCCGAAAAATATAAAAGCACAGAAAAAGATAAGCGTAAGAGACTTTGCACCTAATCTCAAATCAGATAACTTGAATGAGCTCGACAAAAAAGGTGAAGCTGCCGTCGTCAACTCGCTAGAAACTCGACGCGATGAAGAAAAAACTTTGACTGAAGATAAAAAGGGCGATACAAGAACTCAAGCAAAAAACTTGGCTTGTCACGATCTAAGTGCTACTTCCGAACACGACAGTCCCATTAAAACCTTTGTCAATACCCATAGAAAAGCTATTACACACTCACGAAGCAATATAAGTAACTCATTGTTTATAAGAAGTATCTCACATATGAACGATACAATTAGCATGTAAACTAGGACACCACGTGTTGTGTTAAGCTTCGAAAACAAATCTTAAAAATCCAATTAGGTAACTTACTATTTTGCAGAAATATATTATTTCATGTATTAGTCACTTCAATCAATTCGTGATTTCAATCGATATTTTTCTTATTATATGAACACATGAATAATATCCCACGTTAAGGAGATCACTAAAGAAACTGTAATTTGAAAGTTCAAGAAATAATCACCAAATTAGTTATTATTACGGCTTGACCAAAGATTTTAATCGCGAATTTCACCATATAAATTTCAATGTTTAGTAACGTTAGCGGAAACCTAAATAATTTTAATATAAACTTGGAAAATGTTGTCACATCAAGCGTTATGTAAGTGCTTTTCCAAAGTTAGTAGACCTGACCTAGTTTTCGGTACTGCTGCACTGCGCTTCTTTTAAAACTCTCCCAGCATACAAAATTGCTTTTAATTTTGCTCTTATAAATTTGATTAAATTAGATCTGAATCTGTTTCAATGGCAAAAGTAAAATGTTTTATTTCTCCTTTGTAAAGATAATTTCAATTGTTGCTGACAAAAAAATAAAACCTTTGTGCTTAGCTACATTATAAGGACGATAATAAGCCTTAAAAGACGTAATCAAAAAATAGCTTTCAATAACTGGCTAGTTCGGAAAGAAATCCCGCGTTCTTTTATAAAGATAATGATTTCCTTCATTGCAAAATTGAACTTCCATTTAGGTTGAAATAGGAAACGGGCTCTCGAGTACACCTCACAGCTGCTTCCATGAATGGAAGACAAAATAATAGCGCAGGACTCCCAGGAGACACCATTATAACAGCACTAACAAAGGGATTATCTTGTTTGGGAACCTCTTGACTGGCACTCGTCGACTCTTTGTATGTATCGTGTTACATTTCTAGTCTAAAGGTGGCTATTCAAGAAGTTTTTATAGGTGTGGTCGATGTTTGCTTTTATGGGGTTCCGTAAACGAGATCTGTAAATTATTGAATTATAAATGATCTATGTTTTCTTGTGGTATACGGATAAAGCGTACAAATTTGATAATACTCATATAGATCTTATATAATTATGTAAGTACAATATCTAATTATTGTATTATTTCCTATTTAATCCATGTACTTGGATTTCTTTTGAATTTATTTAAATTAAGTAATAAATCAACGTCGGAAACACTAATTATCCAACAACAAAAACATCTTCTATCTTCTCTAGCATCTACTAAATTATGCATATGATCTTTTTGGTCACTGGTTCTGCTGATTTCATTTAATTATACTAGTACAGTTATAGATAGAATAAGTTCATAATATTTTCACATACAACCTTTTTCGATTCACACTTAACCGTTTTTTGTGGCTGTGGTCGGCCTTTATGTTTTTCTGCGACAAGGATGAGAATGCGCCGGTGATTTCAAAGGAACGGCCTGTGATAATTTTAGAAAAGCTTTTTGCACCTTATAAATGTATTGTATCAATCTTGAGGGGCTCCAGCTTTTTACTATAGAGTGAATCAAATTTGTTTTGAATTACTGTGACTGGGCGCATATGAGAGAATGTTTCTTATAATTTATTACTAAAAGTGATGTTTTAGAACGACCATCACACCTCACAGGTTTCATATAAGTAATTTAACGACGAAATACTTCAGTTCATATTGAATGATATTTTAAAAATCTTTTTACAAAGAATATCCGTAGTAGTATTTTGTATGGTAGTATCGTTACTGGCATCACTGTGTATTATTATAATTAGGTAACTTGATAATTCAATCAATCAAGAGATTTCAAAGGAGTACGAAATATATTTATTACACTAAAAAGAATATGTTCAATATAAACACATGTTGTCTGTACAGTGAGTCAATCACAACATAGGATAATTATCATTGAACACCATTATAAATCAAACGTACGTTGTAATAAAAAATATATAGATAAACAAAAACATATAGTTGTTTGTATTCATTTAGCTTGATAACTTTAAACTGAATGGGTATAGACAAAATTGTAATAAAGTCTAATTAGATAGTATATATAAAGTAAATTAAAGCTCGATATGCGATACGGTTGTTACACAACTGTCGCAAGGGCTGGTCATGGGATGGGTGGCTAATAATTTATTATCTCGAGCTTCTCCGTGATTCTCAAGGCACTTTAAACCATTGGTCCTGGTCAATATTTTTTCGTACTAGAAGATCCACATAGTTATAATAATTCGTTTGCAAGTATTGCCAGAAATCACAAACTTAGCTTTCTTTATTTTCATACATAAATATATAAATGATGTAAAACCTTACGTAAAACAATTACTATATCAAAACCACATAGTGTGTTACTATCGCTATTACGAGGCATAATAGTCGCCATATGTCTCACATTTGATTTACCCTCAGCAACTAAAGCGAACAGCCTCCCACATCGCCATTAACTAGATCGAATGCATCTTTTTATGCCTCCCTCAAACTTAAGTGCATTTACGAGTAAGCTGCATCAAGAGCGTCTTCGTTTCAACGGATGCGAAAGCATCGCCTGAATGTTTTATTACAACTCTCACGAACAGATTTATCAGAACTCACGTATTCCGTTCCGCTGATTTATTTATACGTTGCTCTTATAAACTTATGAAGGTTTATCGAACACTCAAAAAACAGACGGGTTTAATGTCCGATATCTAAGCCATTAGATTCTCTGAGAGTTATATTCGTGGTTCGAGAACCACTTAGTGGATGTTATTGGGCATGTGTTATGCTTTACTGATAAAAATGTGTGAGCCACACGCTCAATAATTTTTTTACAGCCCCTTTCATTCGAACTTAATCTGAAATTTCGTGATCCATTAATAGTATATCTCAATCTTCGTTGGAAAGTTTTGTTTCATAACATTGATCTTTCTATGCTTCATGCTACACATGATTTTCAATTGTTTTATCATTAAAATAAATGAAGATTTAGATAGATACCTTTTATTACGAAAATAAGATTTTGATAAATAAACCCACTAGTAATATGACAATCAATTCTCTGCCTTTATCGAGTTTTCTTTGAACCAAAGAGGATATTTTTATTGAATACTTTTCAAGTACTATTCGATTTAATTCATCGATCATAGAAAATACCAGGAAACATTCATCCATCTAAAATAAGATAATAGCACTATCAATTGAGTCTTCGATAAAAAGAGCGATTCGTCTACCGATGCTCCTCCAAGAATCCATTCCGGACATTGATTAAAGATAGCCCATCAATAAAGTCTTCCACTGTCTAGAACAGCACCGATCCCACTTCTAATTATTCGAATACCGGACAAAATGACAGAAGGCGGCCCCTTTCAAACTCCTAACGACGGGATGACGCCAATTCGATGAGTTTTCAGTTTGTTTTTAGTCTCGTTAGTAGTCGCCTCAGGAATCTGTGCATTCATCAAGCCGTACATATTTCACTCTAAGTCGTGGCGATAAGGCATTTCTACATTTACATTAATTTTGTGATTTCCTCGGCGCGTGACTGTTGAAATTAGAGTTCGGTATTTTAAAACTAAGAAAACATCTCATCTGTCCAAAGCCAAAACGATTCTAAAATAAAGATAATGTCAAAGCGTGATAAACAAACATCGATATTGAGTTATGACTGAAAGGTCAACGTTCATTTCGAGAACATTTTGAAAGTATAGAAACTACATTGACTGATCTGGTGAACTTTCCACCGCACTTCGAGTACAGTCGTCGAATTGTTATTTACAATTGCATCGTGACAACTCTCACGTCAGTTGCGCTTCTTGTAACAGTACATCTAAATGGAATTTCGTCATGTGCCAAGATAACACTTAAAATGAAGCGTGAAACACTTCACTCGTTATAAAGGACGACCCAAATTACGAGAATTGAGATACGAAACACTCGAATATGTAAAAGAACTTTTCAATAAGACAGACGGAGATAATATGAAATGATCAGTGGGTCTTAATTAAAATACGGATAAAGCGTTTGAGTGTTCTTTGGGTACATTGAATCGATTTCGACAGAAGACACCACCGAAACCTGTTATTAAGTACGTCTTGGGCGCTGAAACCAATTAAAATCGACGGCTCATGGGAACGATTACACAATTCAATGATAATAGTAGTTGGTCATGATAGTAAACCGTTTGTTATAAAGCCCTTGTCATGGTCTCTCGACAAAATAATTATTCGCCATCGATAATAACTAATAAGTACGAAATTGCATTTGCGTAACTTAAATCGTGAAACTTTAATAATATAAATATCATAGTATTACAATACGGTTGTGTATATTAATTAATTTTAAGTAAATATTATTTGCCTATATTTAAATCGTACGTTCTTTTAACTTCTATATCTCTCGAATTACGATAACTTAAAATAGGTATATGATCTGAGATGATAACCGAAAAAGCTTTACTTCTTATTGATGCTATAAGGTATGTGAAACATGACAATTTACTCGAGCACTTGCCAATAAAACTATTTTTTATTGATTATCATTCATTATATTCCAATTGTAATTCGTTTTCATCAGATGTGTTGCTTTAATAATAAAATCATAACAGGAAAACGCTCAGCTTTATGGTAAACAAAAAAATTATCGCTTTAATAAATGTCCAACCATTTAAATATTTCTCGTTGCTTTCTATGTAGGTCAGTATCACCTGAGAATCCTCCCTCGGAATTGGAATTTTAATGATTGTAATATGCCATCCGCCTAGCACGGACCGATAACCGAGAAAAACGACCCCTCGAAACAAATCCTATTAAGGAAAAATAGATTCCAGAAGGAAATAGCAGTCGGTCCCCACCAAATCGGAAATAGAAATAAACTGAACGGAAGTGAAACTAATTAAGTTATCCGCGCTTCACGCTACTTGCGGTTTATTTTCGTGCTCTTCTCCTCGAATAATAACGTTCCTAGAGGTATAACTGTCAACACTGTTGGATATGTAACGTACACTGATACGTTGATTGCAATTTCTGGGCGAAATTCTGTCGGGGAAACTTTAAATTTCGCAAACGATACATTTCCGACTCTATTACCTTTTACGGGTAAGATCAATTCACGTTGCCAGTAATGAGTTCCGTGAAGTAGGGTGAACAGTATCCAAATATCTCTGTTTTGCGTGTAAATAGGCGCGAGTGAGGCGACAAACCAGGTGTGGACTTTAGAGAAATCGATGGCGAGACTGTGGGGTACATGTTATTATGACAGACCTCGTTTATTTTGAACGACGCGCTATATCTCAAAGTTCCACAATTAGAAGAGCTTAAATAACAGCGGGGCTATTAGTCTTATTAACGTTTATATCTCGTTTCATAAGCAGTCGGTGACTAAGCTATGCTAATATAAAGTAACTAGTAAATAATTACTGGCGCCTTTGGTGTACAGATTTAATTAAACAAGCTTATTTGGTGTTGCAATACGAATTATATAGGTGTAAATTTTGTATCGACACAAGGCAAAATTACTATAGTTTAATAAATACATTCAACAGAACATTTTATTAATTAATAAGTGAGATCATCCTACAAATTAGTTTACAATTACAATATTTTAAAAAGATATATTGAACAGATTTCATTGTTTCAGATGTGTCAAATACCACAGAACTGGAGCAGAATACTGCAGCGCCGACGCCACCTATTCCTCTACGGCCAGAGTATGCCCACCCCGCAGGAGTGGAAGCTTTAGACCCATATAACTCAGAAAAGAATAACCCTCCACCCCATCATAGAGACTATCTTGAAGAAGACTACGACCATGAAACAAACAAAGAAGATGACCACGAAAACAGAGACGACGCAGATGAATTGCCGTCTCTTTCTGGTGATCATCTACAGAGTTCAACAGATGATCTGCCCATGTTCTTACTAGAGCCTCAACATGCTTTTGTGGTTAGGAATAAACCAGCTACATTGAGATGTCGTGCGGCTAATGCGTTACAAGTGTACTTTAAGTGTAATGGTGTGCGGTCGGTTGCTAGTACTCAGTTCGAATTTGTAGATCCGCAAAGTGGTGTGAGGATTGTTGAAGCGGAGTGTAATGTTACCAGGGATCAACTTGAAGAGTATTTTGGAGAGGACCGGTTCACGTGCACATGCAACGCTTGGAGTAGCAGGGGTGATATCAAAAGTCAGCCGGCAGTCGTAGAATTAGCATGTAAGTAACTTTGAATTTCAAATTAGTTTTTTTCACGCTTAACGATTTTGAAGGAAAGCAGTCGCATACCATTTGACTTAGTAACCATTATAATAAATTCATGTAAACTTTTATTAACTCAGGAATATATCACAATTTGATAATTTTAAGTATGACTTTTTCTAGATTAATTCAAATATATTAACCCCAGTGATCTAGAAATAGCATTAATTTTCTGAAATAGTCTAAATTCAAATTACGTAGATGACAGTTAATTGTAGTGTGGTTTGAAACTTTATCCTCCTTTGAGAGTAATATTGCTTCAACAAAGTTTCAAGAGTGGCCTAATATATTAAGGATAATCAAATGTCAATGTGGGAATACATTATTACTCAATAACTATGTATAGGTATATTATTATTAGGTATGAAGTGATTTCCGATATCGTTAACTACTTCCATAATCGTTATCAGAAGTGTGACTTAAATAAAATCATTATGTCATTCTTCGCTATCATTATGATGTGGAAATTAAACCAATTTATAATGGACTTGGCTAAAAAGAAACCTCATCTTCCGGCCTTGGCGTGTGGAGCGTTTCAACAAAAGTCATAATTTGAGTTTCCGCAGACAGTTTTAGAGTAACCCAGATAAAAACTTGTATCTTTGACTGGTAACAGTGCCAGCGATGAAATAAAGTTCCTCTACAAGATTATGACATTTAATCTGATTCTCGGTCTGTTTCATGATGAAAAACTATATAAATAAATATGACATATCTAGTTTTACAAGATGTAGCATAACATATTATATCTACGAGTATTTATATATTTTTTTTGTTTGTTATTTTTTTTTTCAATTGGACATTATCTACTTTTATATCGGTACTGATTTTATAATTTAATTTGTTTGACATTCTTCAAGTGGGAATAATTATTGTACTCTATAATAGTTTTATGTAACAATGATATTTCTAATTTAATAATTTTGTCATACATATATCCAATGTGACTTTGTAATTTTATCAATATTTACATGCTATAGCTGATGGCTAAATGGGCTAAACTAAAATAATTGTAATTCAATCTACAATGTACCTCATTTAAAAGCAAATAAATTGTTATTATTATGATGAAATGCTAAACTGTCTATAAAATTAATAAATAGAAATAAATAACATGAATGGACATAATACATTTTTAATGCATGCCTCACGATACACCATACCATAATTTGTGAATTACGTACAGTTGAAAATATCACAAGTAAACGATATTCACAGTATTTTACATTCGCTGTTTATTGTAATCAAAGGCAATACATATAAATCATGTCGCAGGGAGACGTACAGCGCCGTTTACATTATTGTTTGGTATATTTACTACCATTACAGCAGCTCGATTTAATTCAATGGCCGCAAGAGGTAAATCTTCGGTACATATTAAATAAACGTCGTCTTGGTTCGGCCGTTTGTCAAATTTATGATGTCGGGTTGCGCAATCACGATTAGCTGTGACGTCACAGGACCTGGAGGACAATGAGAGCTTAGAGCGAGGAACTAATCCCTTAAAATAGATCGTGTTAATGAGAACTAAAAGGGACAACCGCTTTATAGCTCTAATTTTAATAATAATGTTGCTTATTAAATTAGACGAATCATGGTTCACACAAGCTAATGGAATCGAAACCATTAAAAAAATATTCAAATGTTATCATCATCAGCCCTTTTACGTCCCCACTGCAGGGCATCAGGCCTTCCTTATGGATGGTTAAGGAGGATGGGCCTCCACGCTGGCCCAATACGGATCGGAGAATATTAATGACTGCAAATGCAGCCGGGACCAATGGCTTCACGTGTCTTCCGAAGCACGGAGTAGCTCGACATAATAATTTTTTGGTCACCCATCCCGTAACCGACCGTTGCGAAAATTGCTTAAAGACGATCGCGGGCCACGGCGCTTATTCATTACGCCACCGAGCTACCATTTTTCAAATGTATTGTAAAATAAAAATAGTTTTAGTTAAAAAGATATGATTAGGCTATTATAATGGTCATCGTTTAACAATTTCTAAAATATATCATGTATTATCAGATAAATTGAACAGTACTCCGGTAAACGAAGTATTAGGATTTTTTGTCTTTTTTTTTCAAGTAAGAGTCGCTATAAATTTCTATCAAAAAATATTATTATTAGCTATCCTTCAAAACGAAAGTTATTGCCTTGCGGTGCCTTATAACTATTACCTTGCCAACCCTAAGATTTTGCATACACAACAAGAGCCAACTCGAGACCAAGTGAAATCTACTCTCAGAACAAACACACTCAGTTTAACCTCATAAATGTCTAAATATACATGAAACAGAAGCGACGGAGACATTCCCACTTCGTCCTAATTGCGAACCAACCGTGTGTAATACAAACGCTCTAAATTTTCATCCTGACAGTTTTAATTGTGCCCCGAGAGCTTGAAATATACTCACAAGAGTCTATGTACCTATTAATGATGATACTCCAACATGTACATAAGGAATTGTAAGTGAACGTAAAAGTGTCAGTGGTAAGTTTACTGGTACAAGATTTACTGTAGCACCTTTTGAATGAGATGTTTTCGTGTCTACATTCAATATTACTTGAGGATCAACGAAGTGATTTGGGGGCTAAATATAAATCTTTAATAGGGCAGTATTTTTATCTGATTCTCTTTTGTGATTAACTGTTACTTATATTCTGTAGCTAAGTTAATTACATTGATAATAAACGTCTTTCTTTACTTGTTTAAGTGATGCTAGAAACATTATCGAAGGTGACTTTAATAACATTCTTTATAACGATAATGTTCAAAGTTAAATCTTACTTGATAACGTTAAAGTTATAAAAGTTAACTTGACAATGTTATTCATTAAATGTAAATTACACTATGAAATAAAGTTATACAAATCCCAGAGATATTAAACTGGATAATAAACGATAATAATATGAAAATGTAGGGAACACGTAGGGCCCACCACGCCACTATAAAATAATTCAACGTTAAGTGCCAACAAATCCGCGCCGTGTATCCGGACTATAATTTTTGGTAACAAGGATATAAACCGAGCTTTTCTAGGTGTTATGAGTCCTGTTACAGGATATGAAACACATTAAATGCATACAGTATTTATAATGCAAATTCTTAAACTGACCAATTATTGTAAAGACTGAAATTGAATTGCTATTAATTTCCGCAACAATCTTAATATGTATTTTTCACAAGTTACGATAAATAATCCTCTTAATGAAAACGAATTAGTGTTAAATTATTTGATTATTTAATCGAATAACACAAGTCAAATAAGATATTTATGAATATGACAACCTCGGTGTCCGAGTAGGTCGCGTGCTGGTTTCAAGTTATCGCAATCTCTGAATACCTGGGTTTGATTCTCGATTGGGTTGACGTATAAAATGTACTTTTTTTCTAAATAAATATCTTATGAATATCTACGGTAGCGAAAATGATAAGTCTAAGTCGAATAGATCGATATTTCTAATCAATTTATTAAGACATGTGTCTTACTTACGTACTTAGTCATTTATAACGCACTAAAACCAAAGTAATGCTTTTATTAAAGTTTTTGCATATCTGAGTATAATCTCAAAGGTGCCTTCTATTTATTATATAAGATGATTTAGTGGGGCAGAGGGGCAACCATGTATTATATTTTCTTACAAGGGGTTTTTGATAGTTATTATGTAATATCACAAAACCTCGCAAAGCTAAGATTATTAGGAATAATGAATAAAAAATGATTTTATTGGTTTTCTTTCAGTTTTTTTTTTGAAAACATTAAATAGTAGTGATCAGGTGATTCTTATTTTTGTTACATAGAGAGGACAAAAGGAAGGCAAAAAAAATATAAAAAGAGTTTAGAAATCGCAAATTTAATATCAAATCGTATCCACAAATTACTTAACAAATATAGTTTTCACTTCATAGTTAAATAATATAGGACAGGGTTGTGTATTTTTATCGCATCTGAAACATAATAAAACAATGTTTCTAAACGTTTCCCTGATTTCAAGGCAAGGGGTGTTTTAGGTAAGAATATCTTACAGGAAATGAAACGTATTCTGTAAATTTATAGCCACACGAACTCTCCGCCAGGCCGGATCTACCGAACACTTATCATTTACGCCCATCAGCCACTTTAAAGTTCCCCAGTAAAGTTTGGTACACTGGTAGAAACGCAATTTTTGTTGTGAAAAGAACCTGCCGTTTATCATAATACAAATTACTCTGCTGACATTTTTCATTTGCTGTTGTGTCATTGCAGCTGTGTATTTGTAAAACAAGGGGAATGATATGGCTGCTATCTGTACTACTAACACCTGTCGGTTAGATAGTAACATTTATGATGTGACTGATGTTATCGGGGAGCTATGAAAGAGTAAAAATAGCATAAAGTTCATTATTTTCCCTTTATAAGTTTAGTAGCCCAAGTTTCATAATTATTGCATAATTCTAAAGCAAAATTCGTAAATTTAGTACAATCTGTCTTTTCATTCTTTGATCGGGAAGCATAAAACGAATTAAATACGTTTGTTTATTAGGTAATAAAACGGCTACCCGCAACCTGTCTGATTTATTGAACACCTAACTGGCACAATCCTTACCACTTCGTAATTATTTTATCGTTTATACCTGTCGTTTTTTAAATCTACCTTATAATTGGATTTTGCTTTAATATTTGGTGCTAGCAACATTACATTTTACAATCTTTGTGATATTTTTGCATCAGGCTTGTTGATCAAAGTATCAGTTTCGAACTATTATAAGGCCAACAATTGTTATAGGCGTGAAGCTACATCACACGTGGATAATATGCCATAATTTACGCGGCCGCAGTCACCAGATAACGACTAGTAAAAAAATTAATTGCGATTAGATTATTTTTATTTATAAATTCTTGGTATCTTTAAAATTTGCTATAAGCGTTTATAAAGAATTGTACGACAATACTACGAAAATTTATGTAACCTACTGTAGACAATAAGATTTGTCGTTGTCAGCGAAGCTTTAGCAGAAACAATCAATAAAGCAAACACTGCAGGACGACGGGTAATGGAGCGGCTACAACAGATTTATAGCTGCACTCTGCACCACTCGACCGAGACGTACTTACGTTTTGTAAGTGCAAAAACCGAGTATAAAAAGAAAATTAGCACCAATTTTTAACATAAAGAATACTAGTAATAAAGAAAACCGAAGGAGAATTTATTGTTCTAGTCAAAGTTATAAATTACTAAGTTAATCTTCCAAGAAACAAAGAAAAATCCAAGAAAAAGACTACTTTTTTTTGCAAATTAGAAGTTTTCTTACATTACATCTAGTTAAATTTTTTCGAGGAAGAATTTAAAATCGACATTTAATTCCCATCAAAATTTTATTTAAAGTTATTGCTTAACATGAAATTATTTAACATAATACTATTACAGTTAATTTCGTCATCATTTTGTAGTATAGTTATAATTAAATGAAATAACGGTAGATCGCTTTCAGAATTGACTTAAGAAGATTTGTTATAGAACAGCAATGGAATCTGAAGCTTCAATAGAAACTATCAATAAAGCAAACAAAGCTCGCTTGATCCGTACTGAAGAGTAATAGAGCGTGCACACAGTGGATTTATATCACACTCAAACGGAGCGTTTATTAGAGACGTTAATTTACCAAAACACGAAGCGAATATTAGTTTTGTAGAAAAGGGAATTGCGCTCCGAACTTATCTTAACACCACCCTTGCAAAGTTTGCGAAGGAAGGTGCATTTATTTACACAAACATTCTTTGTACTTTCAAGGTGAAGTTATTTCGAAAGAAAAAGGAAATTCGTATATGATATATAATCGTTATTACTTTTTTTAATGATACGGATTTTTCTTTCACATATATAATTTTTTTACATTTATCTATCGTTTTTATAACTTTTAATGTTTTATTCAAATATAATGTATATCAAAATATATTTACTAAGAAAATAAGGAATATTACTTAATAGCTATCTCTCTTTAGATCTATCAAAACGTTCATTGATATAATCATTAATACAAAGTTTCCAGCTGAATCTCGTTAGTAAACTACAGACAGATCTTGTCTATATTATATCGAAACTGCCAAAACATAGTTAATTGGTTAATGAAAAGCAATTACAGTGGGACGCAACGATCGCGATCCCAAATTGCGTAATCAACGATCTTGTTACATTTTTTATTAAGATTGACGTGCGAAGACTCAGCGTAGTGTGAGCCGTGGGGAAAAAATCTATACAAATTGACTTTTCTCAATTTATTATCGTGAGAAAAACGGCATTTCTTTTATAACAAAAACTAAACTTGAATATCAAAACTTTACGGTTGGAATATTTGTTAAATAGTATTTGAAATCAATAGAAAGATAAATTCGAGAAATTCTTTTTGAATGATTGAAACGCAAGTTTTTGTTCGCTTTCATTTTAGTGTGTACCTTAGAAATATAATCCTTTCAATCATTTATAAAACATCGTGATTGATAACCTTGACTCAGAGGATAAACATTAAAAACTAATTTAATCGAATTAAGAAACTCTTCGCTTACACATCGGCATCAGTTTGAAAACGTTTGTTTTTTTTTCTATAAAGCAAGAAAAATAAATATCTAAAATATAACAAATTTCTCGCACTTAAGATCACATTTGAATCTCTTTGAATTAATAATTCGAAATAATATATGCAAATAAATGAATATTTTACAAAAAAATATCAATTCCTCTTTGAAATCGAATGAACCCCAAATATTTCACAACATATACATTCTTTAATGTTGACATAAAAGATATTGAATTAGTTCAACACTTTTGTGTGAGCTTCATCGTATAAATTGTTATTGACATCTTGATTGGCGTCCATTATGGGATGTTAAATGCGGGTTGAATACAAAAAACACTGTTTTCTAATTGTAACTAAATCATAATAATATTATTATCAAATTCATTATATCTAGACATTATCACAATTTATATTGTCATAAATTTTCGCTTACCTTATTATTACATAATTTATATAAACACTTCTATATTAAGTTTGAGTTAGTACACCTATATATTATTTTTTATCGTCTTAGCATAGATAAAAACATCTTTTTAGATCACATCTATAAACTTGAATGTATACAATAAAAAAAAAAACGTTTTTGAATTGTAAAAACCGTGGTAGCATTTTGTGTTGATCTATTGTTGGATCTTATATATTCGTTAGAGAAAATATCTTTTCAGTTTGGTTCAAACTGGTATGGAACCTCTTCATAAATTATTAACTCTTCTACAGATCTCAAGAAGCAGTTCGCAGTTTCACCTTCACCGACATCTGTTGAAGCAGGAGTTGCTGCTACTCTCCGCTGCACCCCTCCTCCCGCAGCCCCTCCACCGAGAATATCATGGCTAAAACACGGAGTTCCGTTACAACAGGACCACAATATATTGATATCAGCAGAAGGGAATCTGCTTATTTCACGAGCGACATTACAAGTAAGTCAATATTGTTAAACTATAGCTTAAATATAATCTTTAAAAAATATTTTTCTTTATTATAGAATTATTCGTCTGCTTTAATTATCAAAGAGTTGTACTTTCCATTATTAGCTCGCCTGAATAACTAAAAGCAACATTAATATGCGAGCCTAAAATGTTGTAACATTATCCACTTACTCCTAATAGTTCAGAGTTATATCTCCTAGTTCAGGAATATGAGATGATATGTAACAGACGTTATTAGTTATTCATATAATATGTAATACTCGTAGTATTTAGAAAATATATAGAACACATAATGCGTCCTGATAAAATGAAAAAAAAACCTTTCTTTGAGCAACTGAAATTAATATATATATATTAATTTCATTAATGCTTATTTTTGATCAATTTTGTATTCACGATGCTATAGTGAAAAATTACACAAAAGCACTCACAGACAGGATTCGAACCCGTGATCTCGCAATCCGGGAAATCGCCTGGAGTCATTAATACTTAAAAAGTGCACTAGCGTGTGTAGCATTTTGAATGAAAAATTGATATAAAATTTTAAATTCTGGCTAGGTTATTAAGATCTCTGTTTTAAAGTCGATTGAAAACTTATGAATGTTGTCAATAAAACTGGTAATCATAATGTTAAAGAAAGATCATCAAAAAGATAAGGAACAGTTTTAATCGTTATTATAGGTAATTATGGCCAAACTCAAACAACAAATGAGTTTGAAGTAATTAATCTTTTTTAAAGCACATTTTAATGATTCCATTTACTACCCATTTTGTACATCTCAAAATAATATTATTTATTACCGATTTGATTTAGTAATCGTTTTACGACCAAACTTTAAATCGCAAAACTAAATAAGTGCAAGATTTTAACATGTGTCCGCCAGTGTTGTTACAAATGCGTAATTTGTTTCAAATGGTTAAAATAACCATAGCCGTCAGTTGACTATAGTTATAGCAAGAATGATTCTTCAAACAATAGTGGCAGAGTCCAAATTTCTTCCTTAATTAGATTTGTAGCAAAAATAATAGCGAGTCTTATATGACTCACTTTGGCTTCCCATGTGTTGTTACATCAATTGTGGTTTTAAAAATAAAACTTGTGGATTCTAATGAACCCTGATCGTCGATAATTTATATTTTAAGTTTACGAGTACTTTTAAAGAATAAATCAAAACGAAATAAAGAGAGTCATTCATCATCAGGTAATTGTCACAATTCGCAGCGCTTACGTTCCAAAAACAAAATTTACACACCGCATATTCGGGAAGCGTTTCAAAATCAAACGAGAAACGAAACATTAATCTTGCACCCCGCTATTTTAAGACCAATGAAAAATCACAACAAATTCCCTGTTCAGCAAAACGACAGTTCAAAATATGTAATGAATCAAGTGGGAAGGATGTTACATGTGTAATTCAAAAGCCAGACAATTGAGTCATCAATCGCAACAAATTCTGTCAACAATGTCAATATTTAAAGAATACCTACTAAATAAAAGAGAGGGGTATGGTTTGACACCGTTGAATGTAATCTATTGAACACCACTGAACCGGTCAATCGTATAAAGGATGGCATCGATTGTAAAGAAACGGTTACACATAAGCTTTTCGATTCAGATGAAAATGATTCTCTTGAAGAGCTATAACATTACTCTGCAAATATTTGTAACGAATTAAAAACTGGTAATATTGTTACAGAACAACCCGTGGATTAAAATAACAATAAAATAAAAGATTTTATGTCAATTATACATATTTTGCATGACCTCTGAGCTTAAAAAAGTTAGTAATGTTCACATGATACTTTAGAAATTTCAAAATCAATATTTTATGTAGGAAATCAGTAATATGGTATACCTCAAATGAATAGAAGTGTGAATTTATTTTATTGATCATCAAAATATAATTTCATTTATATTTAGCCAACAACGTAAATTAAAAGTTCAATTATAACCCGTTTGTGTAAATGACGCTTTTGATCGAATATATTTAAAGAGATTTTAAAATAGCTTTATAAATAGCGTGTTAAGTCTACGACATCAATTCAGAAAAATTATTAATAATAAAAGGAATATAGTACTTTTGCTTAAATAATTTATTTAAAAATATATTAATTTATTATTAATTGAATTAAACAAAAATTACTCAACAGAATTACTAAACGTCTATCAAACCTACGTTTGTAATTATATTACTATTACGAAAGTACTATACGAAATGATTTTAACCTAAGCAGTTTCATATCAACAGTGTGCACAGATCTTTAAATTTCTCCGAAGTGGTCACCACAATTACACCATTGCGAATTATTTATCACGATGCGACGTGCGACTGCAACTAATTAGTCGTGTGCGACTGACGTTTATTAATTGCGACACGAGTCTGTGTCGCTCTTACGACTCTTCTTTTTGTCGTTCCGGTGTGCGCTTTCAAAGCTCTCTGTCCGCTGTTGACAAAAGCTTAAAAGGGTTTAAATTTAATTCAAATTCTTGTAAGACTAGAACGATTCCTTTTAACATATTGTATAACTAGCGTCACATTATCTTTCTTCTTACTTATTATAGCTTTTAATATGGAATGTCTTAATTGTGATCTTATGAAAGTTGTTGAGCATATGAGTAAATTTCCACGATGGGAATTTAAAGAAATATATTCTTAAGACGTTCTTTTTATTATCAAGTATATTATTTTTAAGATCTCACCTTATACACTATATAAAAATAACTAAAAATGGAAACAAATTCCATATCCAATTTCAAAGTTGGTAATATGATTCACCAAACACTTTCATTAAAAAGTTTTCATAGCACATCGTCATGTTGAAAGTCTATGTCCGCTTCATATCCGCTGCCCGCTAGAATCAGCCCTCACTGCACAATCGCAAATAACTCATTCCATCTCCGGTTTCCGCTACTCTGCATTTACTAATTAGGCACTCCGAGTAGACATGGATTAATTGTTACCAATGTCACTCGCTCGTTCATTGCGGCGTTCTTATGTGTAATGGTATCCTTGCACGCAAAGGTGTCAGGAGCGTCTTCTTAATTAATATAATTATAATGTCTGTCACCTTATTCGTTCAGATTAATGGGTACGTCCTTTGTGATATTATGAGAGAGCTCATATTTTGTCGCACTGCTTTAGACGCTGTAATGAACCAGGTTTGTTCGTTTACATTCATAATTGAATGCCTTACATTTTTGGTAACTTCCTCTTTAACATGCGATGTACAAAGAACAAACTCCGTTAACGAGTTGGTCATAATTTTATGAAATTCATAAAAACTTTTACTTGTACGTTGAAATTAAGATTAAAATACAGGATTAAATGGATTTAAAAAGAAATATTTAAGTGATTGATGTGTGTATGCTACAAATTTTAATCTATTTTCAATGTTGTCGGCAGGATATGGGCAACTACAGTTGTGTGGCTGAAAACATAGCTGGCAAGAGGATTTCGGAGCCCGCCCTTTTGACAGTTTATGGTAAGTTTAATATTGTTTAGAAGATTAAGAGTCATTACACTGATACTTATCATTAAATATCTATAATGGGGATGGTGACTAAAAATTGTAGTGTTAAGTTAAATTTGTCACAAGACGTCATATCTAAGTATAATAACTAAGGTATCATCTCTATTAATTGTATTAATGTCATTAGGTAAGCTCTTAATATTATAAATAGTGATTTTTGCTCACATAATACTCTCTAGTTACAAAATTTAGCACACATATTACAGTGTTATAAGTCTTACCAATTATCCTTAAAAAGCGTTAGACAATTTAATAACGTCTGAAGACCTAACAAGGCGCAGTCTGGGTTTCATTATTTCACATACAATTTATCAGACATTCGAGTTTCCAGTGCTGTTTAACGGTCATTTCATCCTCACTTATACATAATAACTATCTTTACTGCATAAAGATCAAAGGGCAGGCGCCGATGGCTTGCAATTATAGTGTGCAAGCGCATGGGAGAATCATTAGGGACGCTTGCACCCACGCATCTGAAATATGGCGCCTGGCTAACTGATTGCAATCAACACCTCTGACTTGACACGTCTGAAACCATGAGTTTCTTCTCATTTTATATGATCGTGAAATGATTTAACACTAGAATATGACGTGACTCTAATAAATAAATTGATTGTGACTTTAACTGTAACCTATTCGTTCATTAACGTTGTAGCTATTAAAGAAGAATTAGTTTATTGAATCAGTAACAGCTGAATCATCAATCTTTCTATGTTTTAAGTTTTAATTGTAGGTTTGTTTTGTTCACACAGATTATATATGACGTCATAACAGATTGATTTAAATACAATATGCATTAGGCATGATTTTTTTAAATCTCTAAACAAAATATTAGGAATGATATGGTGGAGATTTTTATCGCTATCACTTCAATGCTTGCTAGACTTTTACACCAGCTGAGTTTATATCTATCCTTGTCTAGATTTGAAATAAGATATTATTATTTTTTACTAATTATTTGAGATTCATTGAAACTTGTATAAAAAATCAAATGAAGTAGCAAAAAATTGTACCATAAATTTCAGGTTATACATAGATGTCTAATCGATGTGCATCCATCCCATCTATAGACTAACGCCAATTACGTTTATTAGAGGATGTAAAGCCCTTTGTGTTCTATTGGAATTGTGGCACTCACGTGCAAATTGGGCAATACATCGTCGTTATCACGTCGCGAAGGGGCGTGGGCGAAGTCGTCTTCACAATACTTTTTATTACTTCACACAATTATATAATGGACCTTTATTATCTGTGGGGATTCAAAGAAATTGTCCGCAGGGACAAGTTCAACACTTTTGTTGTTGCATTCTCGATATTTTATTACGTCTGTTTCTGTATTAGCATTGGTTATATTATTAAACTTTTTTGCAGTCACGTTTAATAAGGTCTCATGAGTTTTAACTAACTCGTTCGTACTAATTACGTTACGTTAAAATTTCGATCAGCCGTTATATCAATATATACTCCTTCATTACACAATCATCACCAGCCCTTTTACGTCTGCAGGGGCTCAGGCCTTCCTTATGGATGGTTAAGGAGGATGGGCCATGACCCTCCACGCTGGCCCAATGCGGATTGGAGGTTATTAACGACTGAAAATGCAGCCGGGACCAACGGCTTAACGTGCCTTCCGAAGCACGGAGTAGCTCGAGATAATATTTTTTTTGGTCACCCATCCCGTGACCGACCCTTCCGAAAGTTGCTTAACGACTACGATTGCGGGCCGCGACGCTTATCCACTACGCCACCGAGCTACTCATCATTACACAATATACAACATATATCTTTTCTTGAGTCTTCCTCTCCTTCCATTTTCGTTCGTATTCATATTTATAACTCAACTTATCTCATCATTATATTCAAAACACCTCTCCTCATCATCATTATCTGTTGCTTCTCAATTTTTATTTCTGCTACTTTTCTTTTAATAATACAATTTTTTTAATTTCTACTAATGAAGTACTTGAAGTTTCGGTTTATATTTAAACATTTTACAGTTCACTCTATTAATTTTGAACAAAGTAAAAGTATTGTAGTTTAATATACTTCATTCTATCATATAGAAGCTTAATTTTCTATAGATTCACGTTTTGGATTCACTTTATTAATATTAACAGTTCTATAATAGGGTAATAACATAAGCGGGCTGTAATAGGTCAATCAATTTTTATTGAGAAAGCAGAACCGAAATTGCAGCCGCGGGTGGTCTCATCGGACCAATCTTTTGCATTCATTAATATTGGTATTTCTGTTTTCTTTTTTTTTTGTAAATTGAATATGTTCTGTAACAAATTGATGGTGTTATTTTCCAACCGTAATAAATTGATGCGTTGATATTCCAATTTGTTTCTTTGTGAGTAAGTACTCAAGTGATTTACTTTCATGTCTTCATTTTGATCTTATCTTGTTTGTTACTGACATCAGATTATGAAGCAAACTTATTGATTTTAACGTTTGACATTTATTATAAAGTGAAAGTGAATTATAATACCTACCTTTTAACTGGTCTAATTATGACCTTATAAAATTTAAGTCATAACACAATTTTCAGTCAAAACAAACACCTAATATGGAATTATTTCCCCTAGTCGGTCACTCATGAAAATGCATCCAAATTCACACATAGACATTTATTGTGATATTTAATAATACGACGCGTGAATTATTTGCGTGTTTTCAGCTAACACTACCTACGATAATATGTTCTTTTTATTTTGAACTATCTTTCCGCCAGCGGCTTCACCCACGAGGTCCAAAGTCAAAGTCAAAGTCAAAATAATCTTTATTCAAATAGACTTCTTAAAAGTACTTTTGAATCGTCCAACATTTTTTTCCCTACCACTCGTTCAGGACGTCTTTTGGCTGATAAGAAGAACGAGCAAGAAACTCACCAGCTCTAATAAGAGTAATGACATTTACAAAAACCATGTCATTACCAGATCTATACATTATAAACAGAGATAGAGAAAAAATAAATAAATATGGTCTTATAATGATAACATAATCATTTAATAATAATGGAAACAAGATAATGAGTTTAGAAGTAATCACCTATCCAGTTGCTGGATCATCTCAAGTCCAAGCGTTCTTATCTGTTACATAATCGGATACCTTATAATAAGCTTTTTTAATAAGTATTTTTTTAATAGTAGATTTAAACTGCATGATATCTAATTGTTGTATTTTGCTTGGGACCTTATTGTAGAAGCGCACACAAAGACCCTTGAATGAGTTATTAACTTTTTGCAGTCTAGTGACAGGCACCGTTAATTTATTTTTATTTCTTGTATTAAAATTGTGTACATCACTTTTTATAGAAAACAAACTAATATTTTTACGAATGTACATTAAGTTCTCGTATATGTATTGAGAAGTCCTGTATTATACATAAAAGCCTTTCTTTTGAATCACCCTATCTATAAAAAAAACATATAAATCCGTTGCGTACTTTTAAAGATTTAAGCATACATAAGGATATAGGGACAGAAAACCCGAAAATATTTAATAGCGTTAACAAAAAAAAAAAACTTCAACAAATTTGACTTTGACTTTAAAAAAAATAATAAAAAGTCTAATGTAAATTCCCTGAATTTTCAATACGCGTATAGTTTTTTGTCGTTTACCGAGAACTAACATCTGAGGTCACCCACACAGCAGTCGCATCAACAAAAACTTGTCAATTAACTCGTGTCAGTCGTTTTTGCTGCCTGTAACGGTTATACACCAAGATCGCATTCTTATAATTCGTACAACATATGGCACCAACGTGAGTTCATTTCAGTATAACGAATAAATAAGTTTAAATATATTTTTAAACCAACATGTATCAAACAAAACTCTTCGGATATGGTTTAAAACATATTATTTGCTTGCCCTTGCATATTTTTTATGGTCGGCGCGATTATTCTACTTACATTGTCTTCCGGTCATCAATCATCTTTCATGTAAAATGATAGATACAGTTCGTGTTTTTTAGTCTCTCTATTAAGTTCATTAAGCTATTTTTGGCATACAAATCGCCTCTTAAAAAAATAAAAAAAGGGTATTATTTTATAACTAATATTTATTTTTTATTATTATTAATTGAATATACGCAACACAGTAATAAATTTCTGTCTATGTTATTAGTGATTCACATAGCGTCTCTATGATTTCAACATCATCTTTGTTAAATGAATGGAAACTTTCTTAATTATAATTTTGTATGTGTAGCGCAGTTTCTCTTATAAATTATTGTGTAAAGTCGTGCTTTAGATTCGAGATATCCGTAGGCATGTTCAGGTAGCCTATTCTGTAATACTCGAAACGTACTAATGCGTATCCTCTACGCCCCCTCTTTAATTAAAATGGTAATTAATATTTAACTATTTAAAAGGTATTGCTTATTGTTCTTCAACATTTACTCTCTACAACAGCGGCGAACTATCCTTGATCTAACGTTTCTGCATGGGCTTCTCAATGGATCACTAAATTGTAACCATCTCGTGGAAAGTGTCTCACTAAATGCTCCCTCTCGTATCCCTTGTCAGCCTATACTTAAAACTTTTGCTTTACCTACAATCAGGACAAACTTGGGTCGCAATGCTCCACTTTTTCGTTGCTGTGAGAAGTATAACTCTCTTAATATAAATAATGCTGAAGTGATCGATATTTTCCACGACTCGTTACCTGAATTTAAGAGCAATATCCTCCAATTGTTAAGTTGTCGTAGTGTTGAATAAGATGTACAAATATTGAATACTTTTGTATTTATATACTCTTGATTAATTTATTAATGTTGTAATCACATCACTGTTTCTACAGTAAACGTTGTATATACCAGTAATGGGTATACATATAAGAATATTTAAATTTAACAAATAATAATTTTCAATGTATCATATATGTATATACTGTACTTTTTCCAAATAAATAAATTGCTTAAATACACTTGAACAACTTACACATATTAAATACTAATTCTATAGTAATTACATGTTTATCTACTTTTAAAACTATAACAATTAAGTAATTATATTTTACTTTTTTCAGTACTATTTTCATAATTGCGTTTGTAATTTTTTTTCACTACAGCGATTGTAATTCACAATTTGATTTTTCAAAATTTCTATCGTGTATCAAAATAGACCCCCATATAACGTCTGTGTCAAGGACTTTTCGTCCCAATAATTTTGACAACATGTGGCGTCCTGGAGTTCTTTATAACAACTTCGACGGTATAATGATCTCCCATTAGGGATTTCGGGACTAGTGATATAAACATATAATATTAATAGGTATATCCAGTTTCAAGTCTTTCAACCTTTTTTAATACTCTGTGGATTTATTTATTTATCCGTTCTGGTTTTTTTTTTTTATATAATTAATATGTATGTTTATGTAACTTCCGAAAGTCTAAAGAACTACATCAAAATTACGTAGTTTGAAGCACAAACACACTTTAAATATTTCATCAATTCATTCTGTATTAGCGAAAAAATTACAATTGCTTGTAAAATCTATCAGTCCTGTTAGTTTCGGGGTAGCTGAGTGGTTTTTTAGGCACTTTTCATTTAGAATATTTTTCAGTATAACATTGTGAACATCATCATCAGCCCTTTTACGTCCCCACTGCAGGGGCTCAGGCCTTCCTTATAGATGGTAAAGGAGGATGGGCCTAGACCCTCCACGCTGGCCCAATGCGGATTGGAGGGTATTAACGACTGCAAATGCAGCCGGGACCAACGGCTTAACGTGCCTTCCGAAGCACGGAGTAACTCGAGATAATAATTGTTTGGTCACCCATCTTGCGACCGACCCTAGCGAAAGTTGCTTAACGACTAAGATCGCGGGCCGCGGCGCTTATCCACTACGCCATCGAGCATTGTGAACGCATTGATCAAATATAATAACTTTTTATTAATTATATAATCACAAAAATTATGTATAAAATAAATAATTATATAAAACAAATCTCCTCGCATGAAGTTCTTAACATTCATGTTTTTTTTTTCCTAGTACATTAGTGATTTAGTTTCCCGGAACTCAGTGTTGCATTGCCTGTCAATTTAAGTGATTTATGGATGTGAAATCGTGTCCCCAGTCTCAATTACAACCATTAGCGATACGTAATGAATATTTCCCTATAGAACAAAAAATATACACCATCTATATTTCTAATTCAGGTCAAACATTTTACTATTGTAATATAGAAATGTGAATTCTGACTAGGCGGTTAGTACGCAATTTAGGTACGCACGCGACGTCGCGTGTACTTACGAGTATAACGAGAGATCTGTTTAAAGATATGTGTACTTGCCAGTGCATACAGGTCTAGTCAAAAAGATTTCTCAGTAAGATCATTGCTAGCCAATATCTATCCACGCAGAAGTTCATACATCCTTAGGGCTCCTTTTTACAATTTTAACTAATTACTAACATGCAATTGGTAATAGAAAAAATGAAAATTCCTTGGTGTCAACAAAGTTATAATGTCCAAATAAGTTGTAACTAATTATACTGACAAATCTACGTTATATCGAATAGACACGACTTCAAACTTAGAACCACTCTATATCTCCGAAAACGGAATTTCTGATACATTCGGAATGTTTCGGAATTTTTCTTCACCCTCCTTTGTAGAATTATACGTTAGTATGCAACAGAATCTCCGTCGAGATTTAATTACTTATAAATTTTCAGTTATAATATTTTGCTATCAACGAAACGCGAGGCATCTTCCGTCTAATATGCGCCACAAATATCTTAGTTGATCCATAGGCGAATAACGGACCTGTGATGTCTATGCTTCCATATCTACACTAATATTACAAAATTTGTAAAGATTTGTCTGTTTGTTTACAACAATATATAATTATAATACGTCGTAATTATAATATGGCTCTCAAACTACTGGACCGATTTTAAAAATTCTTTCACCTACTGAAAGCCACATCATATGCGGTGAACATAGACTATATTTTATTCCGAAAAACAGCAAATAAAGAGTTGAAAATGGGGCGGAAGTTTGTATAAGTATTTAATACGTTACCAAATATACCATTGTCTATTATTCAATTTGTCATTGCAATTATATGAATAGACATCTAAATAAACAGTACCCCAGATAACACGCGGGCAAAACCGCTGGCGGAAAACTAATAATTAATAAAATCCGATTCCGTTCAAAACAAAAAGCATCCAAGTTTCTTAACAGAACCCACACAGTGATCAGAACGATGCAGGTCGTGTTCGTGACGGGTGTGAAATTAACGTTTTTGCTGTGCTGGAAACGGTCGCGTTCGGAGGATTCCGGGGTTCGCGTGAATGAGTCAATCTCAAAATGTTTTCTCGTAATTTATGGCTTCATTGTACCTTCACCGGTTTTAACACTTTTGTGGTGAATTAAATTCTGTTACCTCGTTATTGTGTGGACGGAGAAGAAAACGGTCTATGTTGGCTGTTATTTTAATAAAACTGACATTATATTTCTTTAAATAAATTTATTATGAATAGTTCACCTGCCGGCTTACACTTAAGGTTATATAAAACTATCAAATAGAGTTCAAATTCAATTGTGACATATTTTGGTAATCTAACGCGCCTATTACTAAATACTAGCTTGGACCAAGTTAATTATATGATTTTTAAACACATAAAATATTTTATTATTCATAACAGCTATAAGTACCTTTATGAACATAATCAGTAGCCCAAAAAGGATGACTTCCATACATACTTTCAAACTCTATTTCACTGCTTTAGATGATTCAGCTATGATTTTTTTTTGTATGAATTTCCGAAAATCCTTTAGTGAATATCTACTCCATATAATACTTTTACTGATCAAAGGTACTGATGGATGGAACAGAATATGGAGAATGAACTATGATATACCACGCAGCTCACCACCAACTCAACATAATATATTTTTGGTGCCACATCCTATGATCAGCCATTACGAAAGTTGCTTAACCTTAAACTATATTTGGCAAGACATTTTTTCGATAATGTGTTTCTAACTATCTATAGAAGAGGTTTTGGTAACTTAAAAAAATTACACTTTAGTATTTATTAAACGTACCATATACTGTGGAAATGAAATCAATGTATTGTGGAAATCAACATTATCAAATGCATGTGCCATGTTTGATACATCAAGCTTACAGATGTTATATTTTAAACAATTTTTATCAAAAATAGCATATTGCTACCAGAATATATTAACACATTAGTATTGTATCAAGTTTTATTATGAGGTCATTTAAAGATCTAATCTAAATTACTCAGATATTTATTTCTGCGTCAACATGGGAAGTAAGTACAATATTTTGCTAATTTTTTCTGGCACATCCGACTTTACAATACTGGCAAACTCCAGATGATTCCCGATCTTAATCATTAACAATATGTAACACTAAATAATGATATATGGCAATTACCATAGCAGTATTATATGATATATTTATTTGGGAATAGGCGGATGGTTTCTCTATTCACCGCCCGCCCAGTCGCATATAATTTCACGTTCATATTTGGAAACAATTTTCGCAACCACTATCAACTATTACTCTACACATGTTTTGTGACTCATAGAGCTTCCTCAGGACAACTTTGACTGTACCCTGACAGCCAATGGGATCACAGTGCAATGGAATTTTACATAATTTCAAGTATTGAATCAATTGAAGAAACTATATTTTTAACAAAAATCTATAATCTTTATGCTCGGGCTCCCTGTGGTGTAAGCAAAGAGAATTAAGCCTAACAAAAAAAAATATAATAAAGTTTACTATTTAAACTATTCAACGAATTTTTACACCAGTTACTCGTATGGTCTTTATAAACGTCTTTCGTATCAAAGTGTGTGATAACTCTTTTCACTCCTAGCTCGTTAATATCGTTGAACATCACGTAAATAATATGATCCTTAAAGGTAAATATATAAGCTTTTATGTCCTTCTACTTTTGAGTTGTAACAGTTACTTCATTCTTGATTTACACTTTCTGGCTCAATGTTTTTCTACCAATGAGTTTTCCCAACGCTCAATTTTATTATTTTATCTTTCTATACTAAAGGTGTGCCTGCTATCCCTACTAAAGGCACTTCTAAGATATAAGTTGTTCTACACTTGTATGCGGATTATCACCATATAAAAAGGAGTACTACTGTGCTTATGAGAAAAGCGCCAAATGTTATCGAGACATGTTTTATTGCTGCTACGTTAATTAAGTCGTCTATAAAAATATAAAATAAATTAAATATCAATAAAAATATTATTCGGATACACAATTATGAAAACACTTATAAGCGGAACAGACGAGACAATGTCTCATTTTTTAAGTCGTAATATAGATTATTTATAATATTGGCTATTTGGGAGTACATCATGTTGTATACGTTCGAAAATAACGATTGATTTCATAACTTTGTTGTACAATTAACAGCTCAAAAATAGGATTCACTCAAAGCAAATATACGTTATAGATACTGACCGTTTTTGTTATTAATTTGATCGATAGATAGTATTATTGAATTTTTATTATTTTGCGTTGTGTAGGCGCAGGTAAACGGTTGATGAAATTGTGAACTACTAACGCGGATTTTTTTTTATGTATTTTGAATAAAGTTTTCTATCATATGTTATAAAATAAGGGGGTAAGTAACTTTTTCGGGTCAAAAAAAAATTTGGTAGTTAACGTATCAAATAATACCCAATGCCAAGAATAGAGTTAACAACCGTATCTCAAACCGAGCATGCTAACCACTGCGCCATCGAGCTCCTCCGAAATTATTGTTATATCGCTCTTTAAAAACTTTCTAATGTCGTGCAATCTTGACATTAACCTGACTCTTTTCTCAACAGTGAATGGCGGTTGGAGCTCTTGGAGTTCTTGGTCCCCATGCCGCTGCAACGGTCGGTCAACGGGCGGTCAGCGGCGCACGCGCACCTGCACCGAACCGTACCCGCTCAACGGCGGTGCCCACTGCCAGGGCCAAGCTGTGCAGAGAACCGCCGATTGCGTACCCTGTCAAAGTGGTAATATATACTCTTTTATCAATAACTAACTGTCCCGAGACTTCGCTCGTGTAAATATATCCTATGTCCACCGTCATTGAGGTAGCTTCCCGTATGTCACAGAATTATTATAATCGGTCAAGTAGTTTCGAAACATATTTAATACAAACAAACAATCAAAATTTTCTTGTTGAAATAGATAAAGGTAACAAATTGGTATTTCAGAACTTTAAATTAAAAGAAGCATCTTCATTCTGGGTCTCAGTACACCAAAGCAAGTACAGAGTACACCGTATCTGTATAGATACAAAAATGAAAAGTAGCTATAGTAGATATCTAAGAAATCATGTTATCACAAAATACTAAGATTGAAATATAATAAAGTTAGTTTCGTATATTTATATTTCGATATTCTGTTGATCCTGCATAGAAAGCTAGTATCAGATATACATTTGATTACATTGCTGTTGTATAATGATAAAATTACTTTAAAGTCGATAAAAAAAAAGAATAAGGCGTCTTTCAAATATCCGAAATTTAATACTTCCAAAATAACGTTTAGATATTACTAACAAATAAATTTTCTATTTACGCTGCAACGAAGAAACGTACATGGATAACACGCAACAATTGCTAGTCGGTAAGTAATAGAACAAGTAATAGTTCATGTTACAACGCAGAGATCTATTAAAAGCAATTTTCACGATAACACCTAGCATAAATAATTTATTAAGGAGTGACGCAGCTGGCCCATAAAGCGATTCAATAGTCAATGGCTATAAGGAAAACCACAAACGTATCTTTGATCTGCTTGTGTGTCAATACGCCACCGAGGACAATAAAAACAGAATTAATAACGAACATAAACCACACGTGCCGAAATCCTTACAATTGAGATGATTGTTAAGCTTAGTACACGTTGGCGTAACATTAAATCGGTCACGATTTTTTATGTTTTAAATTTTTTGTAGTAAAATTATTTTTGGCTCCATATTTTATTAAAGCCAAACTATGGTAGCAAAAGTTAGCAATAATAGCAAAAATATGTGCTTAAAGTTTTCTTCGAGCAAGATAAGGAGTTTTTGTTATTTCGATGATTACACTTTGACACTAACTGTGTTTTACAATGATTGTTTAATATCATGTGTTCAATAATTATGCTTGTAAAAAATTATAGAAAACATACAATTATATTATAAAACTTAGGTAACAAAATGTAACGATGAAGACAAATGGATCACATATCTACAATTCTTCATACATATAATAAATGGAAATACGTATGGCAACATAAAAAAGTTTTAAATGTAAAACCAATTTTTATTTTCATTTCATTTATAAATGCCTTATTTAATCTGTGTGTAATACGCTTTTAGAAATATCTTGCGTTTACAGCAGAACTATAAAAATCCCCACCGTTTAACTCCAAGAGGGGGTAAACCAAGACTCACATCAAAGCGAGTTAAACATTTAATTACTACAATAAACTGATACGCGCGCCTACAACAATATTCAACATTTATGGTACAGGCAACGTTAAAATTGTAACAAAATATTTCAACATCAGTATTACGGCCCGATATAATTCTTGCTTTAATGCGCTATGTCACAGGTACAAGAAAAAAAAAAATGTATTATATAGAAGGTTTGGTTAGAGAATTCAAATTTTCCGCACTCAAACACGTGAATAATTGGGTGTCTTACTTCAACCAACCCAACTTTGTCCAGAAGTGCAGATGCATTTTGAGGTCTTGGGGACTTCGTGGAGTGGTAATAGATTGCTTAGTATATGTCCTTGGTGTCCTGTCAGACTCTCGCATTCCAGGATTGCATGATCTATTGTTTGTTCAAAAAAAAAACAAATATTCAATGAACCATATCTAGCCCATCTCCACAATAATAAAAGACTGACGCCCGACTGCGCCTCCAAGATTATTATTTTAAATTAGGAATTCTGGACCGTATAAATCGAACCGTATCGACAAACAAAATATTACCTATCTAATGAACTAGCAATATCAATAAAAATAATACATTAAATATCTACACTAATGAAGTTCGATGAACTCCTAAACCGTGTGTGGAATAAACAAAACTAGAACAACCGGACAATAAAGACCAATCAAGTGGAGTTGTTTCAAGCCGCAGAGGATTATTGTTACCGCTAATTGGTAACACATGTCGGCTCTGCGCCTCTGGCGGTCTCACTCCTATACGATCATCGGAATTGTGGAACAATTGTACGGATACTTGACTTCGATTCTCAGGTTTACCTAATACCTTAATCGGATTATTGGCTTTTACGGTTATATCTCACGGTAACTCATGAAAGCTATTCAAAGTAATTATTAATGTACTCTATTAGAATTACGTTATTAAGAAAGAATCTACATATTCTATTACTGAAATGACTCATACATTATAAATGCTAAAGTTACTTTCTGTCCATCTGTCTGTATGATACGCTTTCTCAACTAATCTACTGAGATTTGGTAGTGATAGAATTAACTTTAGGAAAAGACATGAGGTTTAACTAGAGTATGGATGGAAAAAAAGACATTAATTAATGAAAGTATCCCACGAAATCGCTAGCAAAAGCTACTATAAAATAAAAAGTTAAATACGGAGTGTATCCTGCAAATCAAACTTGTAATGGTATCAAAATAAATTACATACTAAATACTGATACAACATTATAAAATCAAAGACTATAATATAAATATATTAACATTTAAAAAAGGGATTTTTTAACAAAATTTCATATGCCATAATAACAGTCTTTCACTAACGACACGCCGCTGATAGCAATATTATTTCCTCGCGAAAACGTACATATAAATTGAGTGTCGAATGTATTCTTAAAACAGCACTTCCACATATACCCATCGGAAGACAACATATTGTTTTAAAATTCTCCGTATAAACCGCAAAAAAATACCGTCAGCGAGGCATTATCGTAATATAATTTAGGTACTTTATCTTGTCGAAACGACTTCCGTCTCTCGCTTCTTTTATAAAAATTCGTTTTCCCTTTAAGGATGTGACAAGTCGCAATTACCAACAATTTATTTCTGGTGTAAATATCCAAAAAAAAATATATGAAACTCCTTTATGTCGGTTGGTCGTCTCCTAACGAGGTTCGACTGATTTATATATGTGCGCATTAATTAATAAGAAACGTTACACACTGTTGTAGTTTAATATGCATAGTACGCCCACGAAGAGGGGAGAGAGTTAATGTATGGTCCAAGTTACAAGCAGCTAGAGATCATAAAACATTGAACTGTAACTGTATGTGTATATTCAGCTTAATTCACATCACATATCAAACAGTCGTTGCTTATACACAAACACGATATACACTATATTATCAACCTTATTGGTAAACATTATCGAAGGAAAATAGAAGAAGACCCCATACTCAACCCACCGTGCCGGACCAATATGAATTAGTGGATTAATGATTGTATCTTCCCTCAAACTGTTTAACATGCCTACCAAAATATGAAAGAGGTTATTGGTCACCTGTACGATGATCGGCCCTTTCGAATGTTGCTTAAATCACAGCCTGTGCTAACAACTACCCCATCCAGTTGCACAGCACGATGGTAAAACTACTTAACCAAAATTGTACGTTGAATATGCCATTGTGGATATTAATTAGTTATTATCCCTATTCGTTTAGATTCGATTCCATTATGTGCCCCAGCGATGGAGACATTAATAAACTTGTGAGGTGATAATAAGCATTATGTTTATATTACTTATCACGTGTATTTTATGCGATAGTATTTTGTTAGTAATAAATAACCGCCATTTATTTCAACTTGTACCACCGATAAATCAGAATATACACGACTCTCTATTATTTCTTTTGTGAAAAAAACCACGTGATTTATGCCACACTCGCATGTAAGGGCAGTTACGGCCATCTTGGCGATGTATTTTAATTTCAATTTATAGGACTATTCTTTATGAGTTCATTGATATACGGTGCTTTTTGAATAACTAAGTGGTTTATTAATTATATTGACATTCAACTAATGCCTGCAATTGAATTTTATTTACATCCAAAATATTTAATTGTTGAAAATGATTAAGACATTAATATTCCAAGATTGCTTTAATGTTTGTATATTTCATGAATAAAAAATAATGTCAGTGCTTTCTGCGCATTCTCATTCAATGAAAAAGCTAACGTACTTAATCTGTAGTTAAAAACTTTCATGTATCTTGAAGATTTAGTCTTACAAATTCCAAGCATGCGATTTTTCAATTAAAAGTTTGGAATTTCAAATGTATATAGTTTTTTACGAGTTATACATACAATCGCTTAATACATCTATTAACAACAAATCCACATTTTATGTTTGTAGGTATAATTTAAAAATGATAGAAAACAATACTATTTTTCACAAAAAAAGACATTTATTTTTATACTAGATACTCGAACTCTCAAAAAAAAAACTATTAATATTCAATGAAGCCGTTATATAAGAAAAAGTTATTCAATCCGTAATAATTAAAAAAATATTAGGTAAAAATATTTTAAAAAAATGGATATTTTGATATTAAAATTGGATATGTCAATTTTAAATTTCTTATATTTTCACGCGTTCTGTCCATAACTACAAACCGTTTAAAAGTTGCTTCATTGATGTCCGTTTAAAAGTTGCTTTTTTTGTAAATATAATGTTGTCTGGCCGAAAGTTAAGGCACAAAGAAAAAACAATTGTTCCTAGTATAAAATTCTTTATTTTGTTCTAGCTCTTCCTGGAAGATGGGGCCCTTGGTCCGAGTGGTCTGTCTGTGAAGCTGACTGTCGCCAAAGCAGACGAAGGTCCTGCACAGGTGATACTCCCTGTTCTGGCCAACATGTTCAATACGCCGACTGCGTAGGCGACTACTGTGGCGTACATGGCGGTAAGTTAGTTTCACACTAGTAATTTATAATAACTTTATTATTCAATATCAATTCGGCTCAAAATAATTTATCAATAAAAAATTGACCCATTTACAAATTATATTTGTCGTTTTGAGTTTCCAGATACCCATGTAATATAATTCGGTGAATCCAATAAAACTTGATGTAGCTTAATATTTAAATACTGTTCATATGAAATCTCAACATTTTCTTAGCATTTATCAAATGTTACGTGAATCATCTTGGGCATTATATCTTTATTAATCTTGCGAACGTCATAATAAGTTCCAAAACGCCAGCATTTTTTATTATGATTAGCTGCAGCACCAAGATTCTTTCTCAAATTAACTGTCATTTATATTCCACGAATACTTCCGTCTGCAACGTATTTCAAAACATTAATTGATACTATATTTCATATCTTTAATACCAACATGGCCCAAATAACAACATCGGTGCAAAGAGGTTTGACCAAACTTTACGACGGCATGTCATATGGGAATCCATAGTTATGAATTGAATTCACAGGGGATATGTTAATTGAGTTAATTCTCTGAAAGACATACGGTTTCATAGGAGCAGATGCCATGTTTCTAAAAATACACTTCCTTTTCCGCGCACGGTCATAACTATGAAACGCTACACGAACTGGTCGCCTTATAATGAAGTATCGGAATAACCGCACTTATCCAAAGTAACAAGATCCTTTCACCCTCCCGCAAGTCAAATAAATTGATCATATTCTGATTTAATATGAGGCATAACACGGGTCTGGAAAGGTGGGTGCATTAAAACATTCGAGTGATACTAAAATCGGACAGTGTGACCATCTGGTTTGTATCATATCTTCTAAATATAGTCGAGGGCCTAAAATGTTATAGTCTACTTACAAAAATGTTCAGTTGAACAATTTGTTTTCCATATCAAGACAATAATTTGAAACTAAATATAGCGATGCATTGTTCTTGTTCACTTTAGACATAACGCTAATCTGAATTTAGTCACATATCTCTGCAATGGTTGTATCATAAAAGTCTACAAGCTTTCGTATCACTTAAAATAGATTCACTTTGATATCGACGCGTCATAATTTCGTGACCGATGCTCCCTCGGCGCAATTCAATCTCCAAATTGAAAATGATCAGTCCGTATTTTGTTTATAATAGCAATAAATCATTTCTTGGTCCCCGTTGACTCGGTTTCAATTTCCCATTCTGTTTATCGAACATTTGATAAATATCCCCCAGGCAACCTCAAGTTGTTTTGGTTTACTTAACAATTTCTTCTTCCCCACAAATGCTTCAGTTCACGCTAAATAAATCCGCAACCTCTGACATATTTGCCTATAAATTGGTTTTGTTTATCTTTGACTCGAAATTGATCGTTATTTATCGGAGGTTATTACTCAGAAACTAGTTCCAGAGGCATTCGTTTTTCACGTGAATGATACTGCCTGATCTTTCATTTATTAAATCCATCACGCCAATATTTTCTGGCCAATTACTTTCTATTATATTGCCTCTGACTTTTTGTTGATGTTCAAAATGTACTTTGTCTCATATACTTTAAATATTATAATTCATAGAAAAAATCTAGATCATAATTACTAACCTTAATTCATAAGTATATACTACTTCTATTTGTGTCATGTCTCTACTGACACATTTTCCATTTACCAAATAGGAAATATTAAAACATCCATACCTACCGACAAACCATTGCTTTCAAGTAATTCAAGTAAACCCATGGAAGGCACCATCAGTAAATTACCTACATGAAAGGTGAGTGAATGCGAAGAACGTTGGGTTGGGCCATTCATTCGCGCCGGACTCGTTCGTGCCACTTCATTAGCCTAATTGCCCTTTACAAAGGGGAAATGGCGAAATTTTATAGCTCCTTTTCATCTTTTGTTGCCTAAACATTGAAATAGAATGAATATGTTGATTAAACATCTAAAGATAGTGACTCTTATGAAATAGGTATTGATATTATAACAATATAACTATTTTTTATCATCGATTTGGTAACAAGCGGATAGCCTGTTTATCTGCGCATTTTGCACAATTCTGCCAAAGTCGGTTTTATTCTGCCAATGAATAAATTAATTTCCTCATGTAAAATGAAAATGAAATTAATGAGAGATGGCGATTATCTTGCAGTATGAAGGATCGACATAAATTTAACGTTAGTTATATTTTTGACAAACTTCATGATCATCATTATCATTACGTCCCCACAGCAGGGGCTCAGGCCTTCTTTATGGATGGTTAAGGAGAATGGGCCATGACCCTCCACGCTGGCCTCATGCGGATTGGAGGGTATTAAAGACTGCAAATACAGCCAGGATCAACGGCTTAATATGCCTTCCGAAGCACGGAGTAGCTCGAGATAATAATTTTTTGGTCACCCATCCCGTGACCGACCCTTGTGCAAGTTGCTTAACGACTACGATCGCGGGCCGCGATGTTTATCCACTACGCCACCGAGCTACTCATTACAAACTTATAATTCATCAAATCCATCACGATAATTTCACGTACGCAATAACCAATGAATATATAAAAAGTACCAATAAATAAACTAAATTCAGCAGATTTCGTAAAGTATCTGTTGAACTATATATACAACCTCTGGTATTTAGCTAAACTTTCTAATCCATAGTTATAGCTATAATAACTATACGATTTCCATAATCTTAAAGTTGAGGAATATACAACAAATAGTTGATGATGAATGAAAATTATAAACGATAATTATAGTCAGATATGTTAATGTTACGAATTACAACATTAATAGAAATAGATGTGACTTCTAAGAGATCTTTTAATCTGATTGATGCTATATCAAACAAACGTAAAATTCAATTTATATGCGATGCAACCATCATTATTGGAGGTGGGTCCAGTAAATGATTTGTTGTGATTTCGTCGAGTGAACGCAGCGGGTGATCGCAAACTGCATTCACATATCCCATTGAACTTCCATCACTAATTTCGCCTCTATCTAAAGCTCTAGTAAGGTCGATATTCGCCAAAGATGCTCTTGTTTGAGAATTTAATTCTGCGAGGCCTCCTACCATGTTATGGGCAGAACGACAAGGGTTTGTAAATTCGGATTGGTTTTCGTATCTGCAATCTCTGCGGCAGACACGAAATACGACTGGCACTGACAAATGTTTACACACGATACAAAATTTCAAATTAATCCGATAAATGCGTGGTACATAAATTAATAGTAGATTATAGACGGATGAAAGTAACAGATGTATGATTTATAGTAATACAAACATCGGTTGGCGGTAAGTGCTAGGTGGAACTTGTTGGTTTCGGGAGATTTATTGGCACTGCTCTGCTGCAGTGTTACGCCATTGCGTAAAATGCCAGCGGGGATTTGGTAAAGTGGTTTCCTACATAAATACTCTTGCCCATGATTTATTTTTAAAACTATCTTTAATGATGAAACATTATACCTGCAAAACGAGTATCAATTTATTTATTTCGACTTTATTTCCGTCTACATTAACGCTCTTTAGTCCATTTCTAATGAACGAATTCTTATTTTTAGTACTAACTTCATCCCTAAATGGGTTGACTAAAAATAAATGTAGATTACAAAGATATCCAGATTGCGGTCGAAGTTTCAGGCTGTCGATCTTATCTATGTATATAAAGTTAGCTATGCATTAACTTGCTTTGGCCCGAGACACTTCGCGTGTTGTAATTATAGCAGGTCATCTCCAATTTTATCCGCATTTCATAACCATGTAGGTCGAAATTCCGAAACAAATATTTATTTATTTAAACACTAAGTTTCATTATTTTATCTTCGAAAATGACGAAATTCAATATCAAATTTTGTCCCCTATTTTGACCATTTTAATTTTAACCTCCTTTTTATAAAAAGCTAACGTTTATCCTTTCCCGGCCATTTTACGTCTTCACTGCAGGGACTCAGGTCTTCGTTATCGATGTTTAAGAAGGATGGGCCATGACCCTCCACACTGGCCTAATGCGCCATAATTGAAGGTTTTAACGACTTCAAATATAACCAGGAGCAACGGTTTAACATGCCTCCCAAAACACGTAGCTCGAGATAATAGTTTTTTGGTCAGCTATCCCGTGACCAACACTTGCGAAAATTGCTTAACAACAACGATCGCGGGCCGCAGTGCTTGTTCGCTACGCCACCGAGATATCTGCCATCACAATGGGTTTAATGGTTTAAGCGTGAAGGCGTAAAAATACAGACAGTTACTTTCGTTTTTATAATATTGTATTCCTGAATCTATGACAAGGTTGGTAGTTACTCTCACAGAAAGATAGGCACAGAATTAATCGACTGGGTTTACGTTGATTTCATAAATCGATACAGCTGACAAATGCTAAACTAGTCACCCTCTTTAGTGCAATCATGGAATGCTAAATTTAATGTGTCACATATTTAATCAAAAAAAGTACTTAAGAATTTTATTGTCAGTCAGTGACAAAACTAAGATAATTTGAATTGCAATTATTCTCAAAGTATTAATTCAAATTTAATATAATTTGGAAGGGTACCTCGTTATGTGATGCCCTCGGGGTATTGAAAATTTAGGCTTCTAGTTTACTCCACAACGATGTTACAAGGGGCCAAAATGGCCCGAATGGCTTCGAGAAAAGGATGGTACGGCTGAGCTCTTTTTACTTTTTTGCTTGACTTGACATATTTAATTTTACCTTGTCGACACAATTCACGAAGGCTGATAGATCTCATAGTCTTATAAACAGTGACTTATAATATACTAGAATTATGTTAAGTATCCATTTTCAGGAATAATTTCATTTTATGTTATCATTAATACACTTATATAAAATTAAAATTACCGAAAGCTCATTAAACACGTTTCGCCTTTTAATTGCATATGTAACATTTAAGAATTGATATCGTTATCGATAAATCGAACGAACGGACGACTTTATAAGCGGCCACGATACATTATTATTTCTTTATCTCGGTCTTATTAAGACCTCGTGAATATGTTTGTGAAATTAAATAAGAATAATATGTGTCCGTTTCCAATACACCAGACGTCTACAAAACAAATTAATAATTAAATTCGTGTAATATGTAAATAATAATAATAAATGTCAGCATTCAAACGTTAACGGTATAAAAAGATATAAAAAAGTTGAATTTGTTAGTTCGAAGACAATTTAAAATTCAAATAAAGTCCCCTCACCTTGAGTATATTAAGGCAAACGACACACTTATTATTTTAAACACATGTTGACATATAAAGGACGTCGTATCAACGGATACTCACATTGAAATTACAGGAGAAACAAACAAAAAAGTTTCTTTAAAATGCGCCACAAAGTCAATCGTAAAGTTTGGGACGCGATGACATAAATAATATCGAGGCACCATGCCAGAAACTTATATGAAAAAACGTAGCCCTTAAAAAAAAACAAAACCAACGCCACTTATAACTGTTCTCCGTTGTGATAGCGTTCGAAATAGCTCGAAAACAATTCGAAATAACTTTTTATAGAGTGTCTCGTAAAGTGACAAAAGATTATCGTGTACAGGTGTAGTCAATAAAGTTTAGTTTTCGGTGACGGTTCTCCCGCTGAGTACGACTGTGGATCTGATGACGACTTTCTACGTGTCTCGTGGTCGATACTTGATTAAACCACCAACTTAAATAAAGTTAACATGGTATACATTCTGTAATCTTAGCATAAGGTTTAAATTCTAACCCTTAAATAATTTAGAAAATTTATTATCAAAAGTTTTTATTCACTACTTAATTTGAGAAAATAATTTTTAAATGTCAATGCCCAATACGGGCTCAAAACCTCTAACTGATCACTAATCGGACCAGTTTACCGATCGAGTTACCTTATATCTCAAAAGCTTGTTTTAGTTAGTGTACAGCTAAAAAATATATTTTTACATATATAACTAAGGTTACATATGTAAAAATATATTTTTAGCTCATAATCATAATATAATCTAAGATTGTAACTGTCTATCTATCTATCTAACTCTGAGTTAATTATAATTAATGTGTAATGTCTTTCTTTTTTAATTGTGTGCGTGTTCAATAAACGTTTCAATTTCAATTTCTATCAAAATGTGAAATTGTTCTAATAATTCAATCTTATATAAAAAGAAAATTTCAACCTATTACTAACTAAAAGGTGGTGTTAAATTCTATATGAAATCAATATCGTATTAAATTTTTCTCTTTTCAACAGTGGCAGCCCACAACGACATTCCTCTGTACATTGGGATCGCCGTAGCAGTAGTTGTCTTCTTAGCTGGTGCAGCTGTGGTATACAAGCTGCTCCAAAGGAAGACTAGAGACCATTCGCTATACACTATGACTAGAACTGGTAAGCAGACTTTTAGTAATCTAGCAAATAACGTGGTTGAATATATAATATATTTTTAATACCTAACTTACATGAATGTTTCTCTTTATGATTTCTTTTTACGTTATTTAATTTAGTTTAATTTGTAGCTGTCATATTATGTCAATAAGCAGCTATTATATTATCATTGATTGTTGGTTTAATTGGGTTACTAATTAGTTTGCGATTGGTGAGTAAACCAGGTTCAGATCTTGTGAAGAGAAAAATTCCTACCTATTTGAAAATGTGGTTGAGTAGTTACTCTTTTTTTATAAAAATAAATGAATTATTAAGTAGATTTCCAACCGGAGATGTACCCTACGGTAGAGAAGCAGTCCCTTTCGCTGGCACCGGACCTGATGCAGCACCGACCTCCAAGATATGAACATCCCCAGCCAGACACCAGAGCCGAACACCACTACGATGTGCCACATCTCACTAACAGGTTTGATATTATATAATAATCACACTATAATTCCATAGAACTTAAAACTTTGGTTAACGCTTATGGAACTAGTCATGATTATGATTAAGTGTCCATAGTCATATATCATTGGCTGACAGGCTGCCAGCTTATCGCTTACAATATAACTTGAGACGGAAACTTGCATAAGACAATATGGAGTTAGCGTATTCGAGAATTTTACTTTCGCTACCAATAAATATTTATTGATCTGAATGAAGAAAAGTACTTTTTATATGCAAATAACAGAAGATCCCTACATATACATGTATAAGATTATTTTGTATAAAATAGGCGTTGCTCTGATAAAGTAGAAGAAGTAACATAGATTTCTATTCAAAAATGAATTTTTAACACTATACAAATCCCCCAAATATTGCTAAATCATTCATTCGTTCAAATATTCGCACAAAAATCAATTATGAAACGTATAGTAGTTCCTGTTCATGTGAAGATTCTGGAAATGATCATATTATATCCGTTTGCCAACAGCTACGCATCACCCGTAGATCACCAAGTGACACCATGTGCATCGAGTAAAGGACAGAGCGATGATTATGATAGTAAACCCTACAGTGAATCTGAACACTCAGTATCAAGCTGTTTCACGTCATGTAAGTCTACGATTAAATTTTGCTTTGATTATTTTCAGTCAATTTGACATATTCTTGAGATTAGTTCATATTTGATGAAATAAAAGTCTCCTCTAACTCAAAGTAATAATAAAACAATACAATAAAGTATTCAAAACTTCGTTTAGATTTTGTGAATTTATAATATCTTTCCTTATTTTTAGAGTTGTATTTTTTTACTTGACAAAATGCTTATTATTTCTATGAAACATTAGTTAAACTGGCATCCTGATTTTAGATATGCTCGACAATTATTGCCGAAATTAATTCAACTTACAAGTCTTTAATAATTATACCCCGTCGTTTTCCATTTCATCGTTTCACCAATTAGTGAATGCCATTTTAATTTGCGTTGGATAATTTTAAATAAATAAATTTTAGGTATTAAAATAAATAGATGAAGTGTCGAAAGAACTTTGTGTAATAATATGTAATGATTATGTGCTTAATTTATACATGTAGATGATAAACATCTTCTATATTGTTTAAATAACAAACAATACCCACATTATTGAGGTGGTTAGCCTCGGCCCATGTAACATTACACCGTGAAAGTCAAACGGTACTAATGCAAGACAATTACTTGTTCATAATTTAGATCTAATCTTTTTCAAATTGCACTTTCATTTTGCTATTAACTAATCCAATAGCGAGATCGTCTCTGCTTGTCGTTGAGGTATGGGAATGGAATTAGTATTTATGTATACTATTAATAATATCAGAGTACTTTTTTTATAATATTCCTTTGGAACAAAATTGATTTCAGAGAAATGCTTACATTTAATTTAAAATTTAGCATAAGATTAATAATTTAATTGTTCTTCAGCTGGCTCCATGTACGACGCAGCGAACGAGTCAGTGACCCTTCAACTAGCTGAACTGGTTTCCAATTCTCCGACTTCTCAATCCCTGTCAGTGGCCAGCGCTGGTGCCAGGTTAGCATTACCAGCAGCTGGAGTAGCCCTTTCTATACCAGAAGGAGCACTTAGTAGGGGAAGAAGAGAACAAATGTACGTGGCTGTCGTCAAAGATGACAGATACCGACCGAGACTAGGAAAAGGTGAGAATTCTGACTATATTTAAATAAAAAAATATTCTTAATCAAAGTAATGCCTTTATGGGCAACTTTTTATTCTTATTCTTTATTCTTTAAAATAAACAAAAGTGTAATAATATTTTTAAACCAACTAAACTAAATAATATTAAATTTTGACAGTAATTACTTTAAGACTTCAAGAATTTTAATAGATTTACAATTAACCTGTCATCATTGAAATATGTAAATGATATCTTCAGATGTTCGTTCCGCTAAAGCTATCATCTAATTTAAAGATATAAATAACAGGCTATTTCGCCATGAAATCGAAGAACTATAATTATGTCTCGAAAAAAGTCAAGTCCCGCCTAAGGCCGGCTGAAATGCAACACATATCGTATTTGCTGCTAAGATACTTTATTAAGAGTAAATTTTGCCCCACAGGTATCACGCAATTGAGTCCAGTAGTTAAATGCGGACCACCTCGTCTCCAACTAAATAAGTCTGTTATTCTACAAATACCACACTGTGCCAGTCTCAAGCATGGTTTCTGGAACCTAAGCCTTTTCGCCATAGATCACAATAATACCAAAACAGATAACGCCCAACCGCAATGGAAGAAAGTCGTTAGTCTTGGCCAAGAAACTATCAACACCCCTGTATTTACACAACTCGATACTGACAAAATATACCTTGTGACAGATATGCTGTCCACATTCGTTCTTGTTGGCGAAAGTTTCAATGGCAAGGCAGTTAAAGCGCTACAACTGGCAATATATGCACCGGCATCGCTAAACGAAACTTGTTCCGAGTACAGTATTAGGTTATACGTATTCGAAGATACGCCGTGCGCGGCGTATTATTGCCAAGAGCAAGAAAAAAAATTGAACGGGGTTTTACTCGAACGCCCGAAAACATTGTTGTTCCAAGACGGTGGATCCAATTTGTGTTTGAATTTAGAACACGTCAGTCCCGGATGGAAGGCTAAGCCTGGCATTGGCTATCAGGAGATACCGTTCAATCACGTTTGGAGTTCGAATTACAACGCCCTACATTGCAGTTTCATTCTAGAGAGAACGCACGACTGCGACAATATTGACTTTAGCGTTTCGGCATGTCAAAGGACCAATCCATCCTACAAACAGACGTTCCGAATATCCCTTGAGGATGTGCGGAGCCGATCGCCACGGGGTAGATCGCCTCGCGCTGAGTCACAGCGTAGTTTCAACATAACTGAAAATCTTTTAGAGGCTCGTATGTGCAGAAGCGAGGAAGGAGGCGATGGTAAAAGGAGCGTTACTGTGAGCGAGGTGGGAGTCAACGAATGTGCAGGCGAAGGCCCATTTAAATTGAGCGCTCGAGTGAAACGGCAGTTATGCGCTATATTGGACCCGCCGAACGCTCGAGGTAATGACTGGCGCGCGCTCGCGTCTAGACTCGGTGTGGATCGCTATACAACGTGGTTCGCTACAAAGAGCTCTCCGACAGAGGCTATCTTAGAGCTATGGGAATGCAGGGAGCGAGGCCCCGGGGCGACTGCTTCTTTAGCGACCGCACTCCGCCAAATGGACCGCCACGATGCCGCGGACTTATTACATGGTAGGCCTTCGTGGTTATGAATCATCAAACAATCAGACCTCGACTTCAATTAACGCAGCTCGAGGTATTGTGAAACTGAGCATACGAATACGGACTTTTTGTTGGTAAAATAATATGTAGTCTAAATGTTATGTTAGAGAAAGTATAGTTTCATCGGCCAACGGCCTAAGTTTGTAAAATCTGTCGTAGTATATTTTGTATAGAATACATTTATCTATGCTGTAGATAAGCGATCGGAACATAAATTATAATTATAGTAGCAATAATAGTGCCTACAAAGTCTTTTAAAGAAAATGCACAACGTAAAGTTGGCGTTGGTTGATAATTTTGTTATTTTTTTATGAAATCTTTGAGTGTTCATTACTTGATCGAAAAATTTATCTCCTAATTTTACGTTTGTTTAGCTTGATGATTATTTCGTGCTCTTTTATATATTAGCAATCATGTGCCAAAACTTGAATGCCAGTGTGCTGTTTGGCAATAATTTGAAAAATTTTATACGCAACTCCGAGCTTATTTATTGTTACTGAAGTAGACTTCTATAATTAGTCATTATCATAGCGGGTCTATCACTAGCTCGATGTCGTGGATACTTTAACACAATTAAAAATGTTATTTCAATTGAATAAAATATCACTTCGCTTGAATAAAATCCATGACGTGCTGATGCACTTTGAAAGACAAGCTGATTGCATTTATGTAATTTACCATAATAGATTTCATCTTCACTGAAGTAAAACATTTCACTTCATACTTTGTATATAGTGTAACAGTTTGTAAATACGTGTATCGCAGCGAATAGTTGAATGTAACCATGGTTTTGTAAATGGATATTATACAACGCCACCGTAGACTATTATATATATTTTTGTTAACGTGATGACTATTAAAATAATTGAATCTGTGATACTTAAAATAATATGAAATAAATTATGTTTAACTGTGTGTTCGTCTCTTATTTTTCTTAACCTTAACAACAACAATACAGTCTAATATGAAGAGAAACGATATAAAACTTGTTGTGTAAATATGGTGAGTCATCTGATCCTTCTTTTATCGTAAGGAAATGCATTACTGCATACCGGCTCTCCCCAATGCGGAGTCGGCGGGTTATGTGGGACTTTCCCTTGCGGACTAGTCAAAAAGTAGGGGCGTATCTACTAAAACCTGACGATGTCCCTCTCCAGGAAGGCGATGCACAGGGACAGCTCTTGGAGACCACTTCCCTCGCAGAGGTCATCTACTCCTTCTTTGTTAAATTCTAGTCAAATTACAAACAATACAATTTTGATAGACTAAATAGTCATAATTCAAAACTTTTTCTATCTAAAATATTTTATTCGAGGCTTCATCGAACTACAAAGCAGGCTATGCCCATATTTGAAGAAATATAATCGGACCTTTCAAATAGAAAAATATTTTTTTTAAGTGACATATTTACCAACTCGTCTCCCATTTTATTAAATTCACAGAGAGCAAGAAAACTTACAAGAATTTGCAAACATAATCATGTCTAGATCATATTCAAAATCCAGTCCAGATGAAACAGAAAGAGCTCTCAGACAAACAGATATCAATAAAAATAAAATCATAGAATCGTAGACCCTTTTTGTTACATATATTGTACATACAACAGCACATAAGGGTTTACAGATCTCAACTTCTCCCCTTTCATTTTAAACCTTAAAATTTTGATGATAGAGTTTTATAATCACCTGAAAATATAATTTACTGTGGTAACCTGACTTGCAGCCATGATGATGTTTTTTATATTCTAAATAAGTCATACGTTTTCTGCTTCTGAATAAGTTACATCTATATGTAGAGCCCATCACGATTAGAAATAATGGAAGCTTTTCTTTGGATATTAACATCTATCAGCTACTTTAGAAAGTTCAAAGTGTTATGCTAAATAACAGCTACTTATACAACTACAGACAAAAAACTTACCTTTTCACAATATCTCAAAGACCATAACCATGAGGCGTAGAGATTTAAAATAAATTACACCTCAACAATAGTGGGACACGGCAATAGATGTAAATAAGGCGTCGTTTTGTCCGTCCGTGGCAGGTGTTGGCTTTTTACGATTGGTTACCGCTTTACACGTCACGCAGTTGAGTATGTTCGTTTGGTTGGGGGGTGTGGTGTTAGTGCTAGCGGGAGAAACAAATAAATGTGAAACGTATTGCCAAAAACACTGAAGTGTGGATGCAATGATTTTAAAAATACGTAATGTAAAATTTTTGCCCACTCGAAAAAAGTATTCTATAGTATAAGTGTAAAACCTATGCTATCTTGAGAACAATTTTACATAATATCACCCGGTAGCGATACTTTGGTACATAAAATATTTATAATATTTGCGAATTGAATTCGTATCCAATTCAAACGTTAAACTTTTGTATTAATATTTTCACAGCGTCCTTCACAATGGAAACTAAAATTTTCATAAGGAATAAATAATATTTGTACTTAATGCAATATTGATTCGCATTTTATTTAGACTGCTACTAAAGCACATCAAACATTTGAAGTTTACAAATTCTTCACTCAAGAGAACTGTATCAGAACTTTTTTTTAATTTAAACTACTAAACTGGTACATACGGCTCGTCAATCAAGCACGATATGTCCAATTTCCTTAATTAATTTTGAACTCTACCTATAATGCATCGAGGTTTAAAATCAAGTAGAGAAATTTTGCAGTATTGTATGATTTGGCGTGTTGACTGTTGTAACTATTTTCATATATTTTTTCCAAGCTCTTAATCAAAATTTTTTTATCAGTTACAAATAGTGAATAACCGTTGATTTTTTTTTTTATAAAGAGTAGTATTTTTTATATTAAAAAACAAAAGTTTTAGAGAATTCCGTTTTCCGCTTTAAATGGCACCATACCCACGCCTCCATTTTTTGGGAATGCATTTAAATATATTATAACGCCATTTGGGATATAAGGGTCGTAAATAGGCAGGTGTGCTATAAAATAAAAATTACTAGCTACTGTCAGCTTTTATCGGCCACATCGCCACTCATTTGGGAACAATAGAATTCTTTACTAAAAAATGTTCGGTTGCACATGCGTAACTTCATTTAAAAATCACTTTGAGCTCTTTTCAAAGCTTAAACATAGTATAAAACAAAGTCGTTTTCTCTGTCCGTATATGCCTATGTATGCTTAAATCTTTAAAACTACGCAACGGATTTTGATGCGGTTTTTTTTTTCATAGATAGGTTGATTCAAAAGGAAGGTTTTTATGTATAATACTCGTACAAGACCAAGCGGGCGAAGCCGTTGGCGGAAAGCTAGTGTGTAAATAAACTAATTTACAGCTAGTGTGTTAAATTAACATAAAGAAGAAGTTTGGGCCCAGTCGTTTGTATAAACTTCAATACTACTAAATTATGCGAAAATTGTTAATTAAAAAAAAGAGATATTTTAATTTTCAATACTAAGTCTGTCCTATTACTATTCTTTTTTAAATGAAAATTTAAACTCTTCTTTTTAAATAAAAAAGTAAACAGGCAGTTGATAATTCCTACACAATCTCTAAAAAACCCTAGTACACAAAAATTACAGGTAAAACGTTTTTCTGGTTAAATATAACATAATTTTGATTTATTTAATACTTGAGTGAAAAATGCCTCAAAATATCCACCAGCCACAAGTGCCCCTAGATGGGACTCGAACCCACAATCTTACTCAATCCGGGCGACTGCTCTAACCATTGAGCTATTCCGTAGAAAATTTATATTCGTAAATCGAAAACATAAAAACTCGTCAGTCCCGTTGGATAAGTTCAATGGTTAGAGCAGTCGCTCGTTATATTGGGTAACCTGAAGCTGATAGATTTTTCAAGCATTTTTCTTTAAAGTTATCTATTAAAATAATATTGTGAGTGCAAAAGTGATCAAATATAATAATTATTTAACACTTATCCATCTTCGGCAAGTAAAGCATCATGTTGCACTCAAAATCAAAGTCCAAACTAAGGCGTTCTTTATTTGAGAACACTTCCATTTTCCCCTCCACATTCTAAATTCTATTTAAAATTATCTTTTATTATGCACTTGTATATAATAGTGAGGTAAGTGAATAATCGAAACCCGGTCAAGCTGCCGTCTGAATATGACGTCACGAACCGATAGCCTCCAGATAACGACGTCCGTGTAAACAGAGGCGGCCGCTTTTAATTGGCTGTCTGAAAAGTAATTATGATTAATGTTGACGCATCTTTTTTGGATGCGGTCAAATAAGTGCAAAAAACAAGTTTAGCTCTTTGTGATGTCGGAGAACTTTTAATAATTGTAGCTACACCTGCATCAGAAGCAGCATGTTTGTGCTTTGGTGATAGTTGGTCGTCAGTGATTGTAACTCTTTAAAAAGAACAGAAGTATTTAAATGTAGGAATTAAGAGTCACAGTGGATTGGAGTATTTAATATATTTCACGTTGTAAATAGATAAAAGTCAGACGAGAATAAAGAAGAGAGTGACATAAAAAGAATAAACTGTGTACAAAACATTAATTCAAAAAAGGTATACGAAATGATGCCAGTGTCTGATTAATATAGAAAAAAGGTTTTATCTATAAGAAGGGATTAGACTACGATGAGGATGGGATGTTTTAAAAATCTCTCAATAAATAAAAGAAAAAATACTTTTGTTCAATCAGGAACCTCCGAAAATTATCAATAACAGCTTCGAACTTGGATTTTATATAATAAGTAGCAAAACCTACCTACTCATATGTTTATGTTTTAAGATAATCTTTCAAAGTAAACTAAAAATTACATTAAGGTTTTAAAAAAATATATCTAAAATTTACAATGAATTTCTAAATCCCGTCATACAATGACGAAGCTAAAAATCAAACATATCTCTATTTAAATGGTATTATGGCTTGACTACTTTGTTCCATACATAACCATTGAGATTCCTTGACAATTTAAGTGTAATAATATGAAATATTTATAATACGTTATTCAAGTATAAAGTGAATACCCAATTCTCGTTACGCACACATTTTATATGATCGTTTTAAGTGAGATAATTTAAAAACCTTGAATTATAAAATACTTTTAAGTTACACCACAACCGTCAACTTCTGATCTACAATTGAAAGGTACCTATTCTGATTGTTTTTTTTTTGTGGCTTTGGCTTTTAAAACTGACGGGCTTCGTAGGCAGCCACTACCTTATATCGATAAATAATTGAATACCAATTAAGATCATACGACGACTAACCTAAATCTAAAGTGAAAGAAGGCTCAAAGAAAAAGGAGGTACATATACATGCAGCAATTAACTATGGAACAAATTCAAATCTGTCAACCGTCATCCCGTAACCGTCATATGATCAGATATCTCCGAGACTAGTAATTGGATTGGAGTGGCACGCACACTCAGTAATCAACTTGTCGACGCTCCGATGATTTCTTAAGTCATTCCCGTACTCGAGATTCGGGTCGGGTACTATTTGATTAGTTATGTTGTTCGGTTACGCTATAGAATAACAACATATTGGATTCGTTTATTATCTGATCGATTTGTAGCAAAGTCAATTTGTATTATGTCCGCCGAGGTTGAATTGTAGATGTAAGAAGCAACTCATATAATAAAAGTCACATGGGTGGGTATTGTAAAAAAGAAATCTCATTCTATAAGTGGATTATCAAGTTTTAGTATTAATAATGAATACTCCTCAAGAGACAAAGAAATAGAGTGGCAAATACTAGTATTAATGCCGTGGCTACGCTGACAAGAAAGCTCAGGATTTGAACAATAAATATTTTGCAAATATGCTTGTTGTCAAAGCATGACATATACCAGTAAATAATATAGTTACGGTCCTTGAATAATAATACCATTAACATTAAATCAAACTAAATTAATGATATGGAAAATTAAAATATACATTTTACCGTTTACATTACCAATAAGT